CCTGGCCAATGACACTCCTTAAAACCCTCCATGACCTGAACACAAATAACGTCCAAGTTGATCAAAGCAACATTATCTTTTAGTTGTTTTTACCAACACTGTAAGGCTGTTTTGCGTGGACATCTTTAAGCACTGAGTGCAAGAACGCCATCACCCCGTCGCACAGCCTGTCAAGGTCGGAGTACACGATGCCGGAGCCGGTGTAATTCCCTTTCTCGTAGCCGAGAAATTTTTCGAGGCCTGTGCAGAGGTTATCTAAAAGGTTTTTACAACTTTGTTCGTTAACATGATTTTTTTGAATTTTCCCAGCAAATTCACAAAGCTCTTTCAGTGTCTTGAGAGACCTCTTGGAAGCATTATGAGACTGAAGATCCTTATTAAGTTTGTCAACTTCAGAGGCATTTTGAGGAGATTGATAGGCAATTGTAAGAAATAAAAAGGCTTATTTTAGGCACATTTTAGGGCGATTTGGGGGAGTTTGGGGAAAGGTCAAATTAGGGTGAAGGAGGCAGTGAGGGGTGAGGGAGGTGGGTGGACAAGGCGAGGGAGGTGAAGGGGCGAGAGAGGGCGATGAAGGCGGAAGATGGGTTGAGGTAAGGCGGTTTTGGGAGGTGGAGGGGGAAGGTGGAAAATGAGGATTTGGGTGGAGGACGCCGACGGAGGAGGTGATGGAAGGGGGTGAAGGCAGGGAGCGAAGCGACCAGTGTAACAAAGGTGAGTGGGTGGGTGGTTGAGTGGTTGAGTGAGTGGGTGGTTGAGTGAGTGGGTGAGTGAGTGGGTGGTTGAGTGGTTGAGTGATTAGGTGGTTGAGTGGTTGAGTGAGTGAGTGGGTGAGTGGTTGGGTGGTTGAGTGAGTGGGTGGTTGAGTGATTAGGTGGTTGAGTGGTTGAGTGAGTGAGTGGGTGAGTGGTTGGGTGGTTGAGTGAGTGGGTGGTTGAGTGAGTGGTTGAGTGGGTGAGTCGGTGGTTGAGTGAGAGGTTGAGTGATTAGGTGGTTGAGTGGGTGAGTGGGTGAGTGGTTGAGTGAGAGGTTGAGTGATTAGGTGGTTGAGTGGGTGATTAGGTGGTTGAGTGATTAGGTGGTTGAGTGGGTGAGTGGGTGGTTAGGTGAGTGGGTGGTTGAGTGGGTGAGTGGTTGAGTGAGAGGTTGAGTGATTAGGTGGTTGAGTGGGTGAGTGGGTGGTTAGGTGAGTGGGTGGTTGAGTGGGTGGGTGAGTGGTTGAGTGAGTGAGTGATTAGGTGAGTGGGTGAGTGGGTGAGTTGGTGATTGAGTGATTGAGTGGGTGGTTGAGTGGGTGGTTGAGTGGTTGAGTGGGTGAGTGGGTGGGTGAGTGAGTGGGTGAGTGAGTGAGTGGGTGGGTGAGTGGGTGAGTGGTTGAGTGAGTGGTTGAGTGGGTGGTTGGGTGGGTGGTTGAGTGAGTGGTTGAGTGAGTGAGTGAGTGGGTGGGTGAGTTGGTGAGTGGGTGAGTGGGTGAGTGGGTGGGTGAGTGGGTGAGTGAGTGAGTGGTTGAGTGAGTGGTTGAGTGGTTGAGTATGTGAGTGGGTGAGTGGTTGAGTGGGTGGTTGAGTGAGTGGGTGGTTGAGTGAGTGGGTGGTTGAGTGGGTGGTTGAGTGAGTGGGTGAGTGGGTGATACACAGATCACACGTGAAGGCACGATTATGGTGAGAAGTACTTGACGTTGGCGAGTGCCCTGACGCGTGCGGCGGCGAGCAGCGACTGCGCGGCGATGCGGTGGCTTGCGGGTGATCTCAGGTGTGAGCGTATCCTCAGCACGTCGAGGCGGACGACGCTGATGTGCAGCAGGTACAGGAGCGACAGCGACCAGAGGGCTACGAGTGTCCAGATGAATGGTGCTCTTATGATGAAAATAAATTTGTCGATAGTATCGAACAGCGTCGTGAAGCGATCGGACTTTAGAACTGCACATAGTTGACTGTATAAATCGCAACATCTCTTCCGCGTGCCTTTGTTGTTCAACGTGAATGCATTTCCAAATGCAAATCCGTACCTATATAATGTAGGCGACACACCTCTGCAGTTGACTAGTGAAGCGCACTCACAATGCGGCTTCTTAATCTTTTCATCAATAGTTCCATGCTTGCCTCTTTTACATTTGTCACCCAGCAAGCATGTGTTGCACCCCCAGTCCTGGCAGAAGATATCGTTGAATGCGTCGAGCAGCTTCTGAAGATACTCGAGGAGCTGCCATGGGAGATACAGGCACCACGACAGGAAGAGGTTGGCGTTTTTCTCGGCCATGTATTCATAGACGTCGGAAGACAGTGAACACAGATATGGAGCGCACTGCTGGGTGGCACACGTAATCGTCATCGACAGACTTGCCAAGTCGGCGGATCCCTCTTGTGGGTGGAAAGTGCCGTGATCACTCTGATTGCAACCATAAGCGTTACCAAGCGCACTGGTGAGGACGTAGGGTTTATCGCAAAGACTAATGGACACTTTGGTGATGTGCGATTCTATTGCGGTTTTGAGTGTATGTTTGCCGTCACGCCAACCACGAGCGACAGATAGTGCGAAGCCGACGTGCTCAGGTAGGGAGGCTGGTGGCTTGGGACCAAGGCAGAAGAGGGATGCTACTTTGCCGCTACCAAAGAACATTTCAATAATTTCACACAGGTCCCGACCCGTTTTGGTTGAGCCGGAAAATTGTCTAAATCCTAACGGCATGAGGCAGGGCATTCCCCTGGATTTAGGAGAACACGTCAAACATTCAGACTTACAACCGACACTAATTAGTTGGTGAGGCAGATGCCCTGGTAAACAGTCCTCTAAATAGCACATTAGTGGCGATGTTGGTAGGCATTTTACTTGACACGTTGGTTGGCCATTTGCCTGGCACGTAGGTTGGCACTTTGCTTTGTCGGTTGATCCCTTGCTACACTGTGATTTGGTAGTAGGCACGTCTTTGCCGTACAGGCACCTCGCCCAACCGCGATCTGATGGGCCTAGTTTGCATTGCACAAGAATGAATTTGAGCACGGGACACAACATGCGCAGTACGTCCAGCAACATAGACAAACATTCATTGCCGGAGCCAGGGTATTTTAGATTGAGTGTATTGTTTGGGAAGTCAGAGGCGTAAACGGTGTGTGCATCACCGGTTCCAACTATGCCGGTCAGCAACATGTATGCGTGCGATGTAACATGTTCGATTGCAGCACTAATATCATTAGGTAAAAATGACTTAGCGTACGTTGTAATTGGCACCGGGATTTCTGTTTCAGGATCATGCTCGTCCTTTGTTTTCTCAAACAAAGAGTCACAATGCTGAAGAAGCTTGTTGTACACGCCGTTGAACTGAAGCCCGGTCAACCAAATCAAATGTTCGTATACGCTGCACGGTGATCTAGGTTTAGGGCGCAATGTAAGGTGGCACACCTGAGCGTGCATCTTATGGTAGCCGGAAAGCTCGGAGACTAAGCCTTCTCCGTTGGAGTATTCGACTGGTATGACAGCGCTACCGGAACGCAGCGTGTCGGCGATGAGCAAATTGTCACTGGATTCGAACAGCTTATGTGTTCCCTTGGTGAGATGATCATACATGTTCTGACCCTTGAACTCCGGTTTGTGGTTCAATTCCCCGTAAGGAATCGTGGATTCACAGCCTACGTCGTAGCCGTGGTCACGGAAGAGCAGATGGCAAAGGCTCTTGCTCGGCCTAGTGGAGTTATATATTGTATACGTTTTCCATGGGCTGTCCTTTTTCTCGAGTTCTTCCTTGAGCTCATGCAAGGTACCAAATAGAATTGGCGTTACAGTGAGACAGACCTTGGAAAGTTTAGTGCCGTAGTCAGTTAGCACCTTTACGGTTTGCTTGGAAGCGGGGTCGGTAGGCTGTGCGTTTTGTAGCAGCGCGGCGTCGAACTCTTGACCGGAGTACGCGTTAACGTAAGTCTTGCGAAGCTCATGGGCCAATGCACCGACGCCCTCCTTGAGGGCCTGCAACATGGGAGTCGAAGATGCACCGAATTCGGAAGGGTGAAATTTTCCAAGTTGATTAGTAAGTGATTGTAAGTTATTGCTAAATTCGTGGCTGAAGTGCTGCGATGTTATGAGCTCTGCCAGCATTTTCTGCAATGCATCCTTCGATGCCTCAATTTTTCTAAAGTCTTTACTGAAGTCTATGTTCTTTTGGTAATCACGGAAGAAAAGCCTAAACGACATGTATAATTTTGAAGTCGCGTGGCTGAGCGGAGATTTCTCTTGCGAAGGTGTATTTTCAATGTCCTTAATACCTCTGATTGATTTAGGGTGTGTAATAAAATGTTCTTCAAATTTAGACATAAACCCCTTGAAGCCTAGCGTTAAGTCATCTGCAATCTCTTTTGGTAGAGGCTTTAATTCCTCCTCTACCTTTTCTGAGAACGCCGTGAGCAGAGTTTTTATGGCGTTAACGTACTGCTTCCTTGCGTGAGTGATGAGTTTGGCTTCGGCGTCCGCGGCCTGCGCTTTAACGTGGTCCTCCAATGATTTTATTGTGGCTTTGCAGGTTGGTTCGGCGCCGGTTAGAAAGTATTCGGCCTCCTTTATGGCTCCGCCTAGATCAACGGTTTTCAGTTGCTCAAGGTCATACTTAATTCTCTTGATGTTATCCCTAACTAGTCTGGTAACTGTGAAATCATGGTCTTTAAAATACGTATTTTTCAAAAGTTGCAACTCGCTTTTGGATTGTTCGCCTTCGTGTTTGATAACTCTATAAAGCTCCGTGAGGTTGTCGGTGACTTTCTTAATATCTTCGTTTGCAAAGCCATGGAATTGGGCGATTGGTTTTAGAGCCTCCGTCACCTGCGTCCTGATTTCCTTGATCGCGTCTGGAAGGTGGCCTTCAAGCTTCTCCGGATCAGTAAGCTTTTCTGGTGTTTGGTCGACGTGAGTTTTGTATTGCGTGAAGCTTTGAGCAGTGTCATTAAGTATGACTTTTTTGTCTGCTTGTGATACACCAACTCCAACGTTGTTTGCAGGATCTTCCGGCAACTGCGCGTCGAGCGTGTCGCTCACCGCCTTGATCGCTAAGTCGACGGCTTTGGCGTGGTTATCGGGGGAGCTGGTACTGATTGTCTTATCACTGAGCGCTGTTTTAAGTTTTTCGAAGAGGCCCTCTGCTGCAGTGAACGCATCGTTCACGTTTGTGCCAAAGTTGTAGGTGGGCCTGGATTCGCTGGACGTGAACGCCTTCAGTTGGTCGGCAACCTGCCTGCCTCCTGCAGCAAGACCAATGAGCGCAGTGTCGACGGCAATTTCAAGATAAGTCTTTTGATAATCAGAGGGACGTGGCGTTTGAGGCTCTGCGAGGACATCTTGCTCAATTATATTGACTATATCACCCATATTATTATAAACCTTCATTCCTAATTCCGTGGCAAACTCCTGACAAACGCTCTGCACAGCAGTCACATTAGAAGAGATATCAGTGGACGGCTGAATTTTTTGCTTCGTTTTCGGAAGGAAGTCAGCAAGCTGATCTTTAATTTTCTGTGTGATTTTCTCCTTAACTTTATCACTAATTTCTTTTATGCCATTCTTCTTATATTCGGGCTTCAAATGCTTCTTATTACTACTATTAATATAATAAGACAACGCCCCCTTAACTGCATTGTCTTTGGCCAAAATGTTAACCATCCATCCATCTATTATGTCCGTAAAATTCGCAAACGACCCAACATAGGACTTTGCGTGATTCAACACTCCCTCAAGACCTGTTTTGTCTCTTCCGCTTCCCTTAATTTTATTAAGAGTATCTCGGAAATTGGAGAACATCTCTTCTACAACTCCTTTACCGTTTAACGGCGCACCAGTTCCACCTAATTTCTCCCCAAGCTCCTTCACCTTCCTATTAATCCCCTCCACCTTCCCTTTAATCTCCTCCCTCACCTTCCACAAATCCTGCTTCAGCTCGTCGTCCATCGTTTTCACGGCCTCGAGGGCTTCTTTAACTTTCTCTCCAACAAATTTCTTTGCATCTTCGCCAGCTCCGTAAAGCATCGTTACTGCAGTCTTAATCTGCTCTAAAGCTTGCTTGATTTTATATGGCTGCGTAACTGAATCCTTTTCGTTAACCTCTTTCAATATTGATTCCACTCTTCCTAACGCACTGTTCACTGCTGCCTCCGCTTTGCTAATCCACTGTCCTAACTCCTTGATATACTTCTCCAGCTCACTACTAATCTTCTTCAGCTTGTCTAAGATTTTCTGCACTCTCAGCTTGAAGCCGTCGACAAGCTCCTTGACTTGCTTCGCCGTCTCCTCATTCACACAACGTTTAACATCTGCAAGGACGCTCGTAATCTTCTCTTTCGTTTCCGCTAACTCATCCTTTTCCTTCTTCGACAGCTCAGTGAGACGCTTGGTCTCATGTGCCATCGTACTATGGACGTGCTTAATTGTAACACGCAAACTACTATTAAGAGCTTTAATCGCATCTTTGTAGCTATTGTGGCTATTGTTGACGTCGACGTCACTGGTGAAGTGCTCAGCTTTCTGCTTATATTCCGCCAGCGTCTTGTCCACCGACTCCTGCGCTTGGCAAATTTTCTTGGCATCATCTGCGTCAGAATTTCCCCCTAATATTTCACTTACCGTTTTCTTGAGAGCCTTCATGTCTTTTTCGAAACCTTGAATTCTGCTCTTGATCTTCTCATTCGACGCCTTGACTTGCTTATTATACCTGTCGACGTGAACACTCACCATGGAAAAAGCCTTGGAGAAACCTTCATGACCTGAATGCAAATTAGGCTGTAAAGTGTTATTAACAAGAGAATCTATGAATCCCTTACCTGTTTCATAAGGCTGTTTATTGGAGACATCTTTGAGAACGGAATGCAAAAACGCCATCACCCCGTCGCAGAGCCTGTCAAGGTCGGAGTACACAATCCCTTCTCCGGTGTAATTACCATTTTCATGGCCGAGAAATTTTTCGAGGCCTCCACAAAGACTCTCTAAAAGCTTTTTAGGCTGTTCATGATTTTGATCAATTTTCTCAGCAAAATCACAAAGCTCTTTCAGTGTCTCAAGAGACCTCTTGGAAGCATTATGAGACTGAAGATCCTTATTAAGTTTGTCAATTTGAGAGGCATTTTTAGAGGATTGATAGGCATCATTAATATTAAGAAAAGATTATTTTAGGCACATTTTCAGGGCGATTTGGGGGAGTTTGGAGAAAGGCGATTTTAGGTCAAGGAGGCAGCGAGGGAGCGAGGGAGGTGGGAAGGAGGAGGGAGCGAAGCGACCAGTGAAGGAGGAGGTGGGTGAGTGAGTGGGTGAGTGGGTGGGTGAGTGGGTGAGTGAGTGGTTGAGTGAGTGGGTGAGTAATTGAGTGGGTGAGTGAGTTGGTGGTTGAGTGGTTGAGTGGGTGGGTGAGTGGGTGAGTGAATGGTTGAGTGAGTGGGTGAGTAATTGAGTGGGTGAGTGAGTTGGTGGTTGAGTGGTTGAGTGGGTGGGTGAGTGGGTGATACACAGATCACACGTGAAGGCACGATTATGGTGAGAAGTACTTGACGTTGGCGAGTGCCCTGACGCGAGCGGCGGCGAGGAGGGACTGCGCGGCGATGCGGTGGCTTGAGGGCGATCTCAGGTGGGAGCGTATCCTCAGGACGTCTAGGCGGACGACGGAGACGTGCAGCAGGTAGAGGAGCGACAGCGACCAGAGGGTGAGTAAGAGGTAGGAGAAGGGTGTACGAATGGCCCAGATGAAGTTGTCAATTTCGTCGAACAATTCTCTGAAATATCCTTTCGTTAGAACTCTATTCAACTGCTTTACGAAACTGTCACATGTCTTCTTGCTTTCAGATCCCATCAACTCTTTCGGCATTCCGAATGTGAATCCGTACTGGTAGAATACCGACATAGGTCCTTTGCACTGGACTATTGAATTGCAACCGCAGCTTGTTTTAGGAAGTGTTGCAGGTTGCGATGATTCTTCCTCAGTGACGCCGTGTTTACCGAAACCGCATTTGCATAGACAACCATACGTTTGACAGGATATATCACTAAACGCCTTAAGCAACTGATCAAGCAAATCCCAGAATGTCCATGCCAACCGGCAAAGCCATCCCAGATACAAGCCTTTATGTTTTGCAGGATATGTGTGACAGGCGTCGTGGCACAGAGCCTTGAGGTAAGGAGCGCACTGTGTATCTGTTCTACGACACGTAATTGGTTTGTCGGACGTAGAATTTTGTGAAAAACTCCAAAGGTCACAATGACTTTTGTCGAGTAGCGCTTGTTCGTGAGAGCTATTACTACATGACAAGTCTCTAAATTTATTGGTGAGATTAGTAGCTTGGTAGTCATTATGCAGCGACGTCCGGAATGGGAAGCTGTCGTCGATGCTTTTCTCAAGTGCTTTTTTGCAATCGGTGTCATGACCATACACGGAACCATACGATTTCTGCATTACGTTACAGTAGTACGACAGCATCTCTGCCAAGCCCTTCGGTGGAGAGGGCGATATGCATTGTAATGCGTGCACTAATTCACACAGAACAGAGGCGCCATTCTTACAAAGCGTAGCAAGCAGATCAACAAGATCCTCGCCACGGCCTGTAATAGAGCCCGCGGTTGCCAAATCTGCAAAGCCCATCGGGGTGATACACTGCCCAACTAGTGAGCCCTTAGGGCACGTTGAGCACATGGGCTGGCAACCGACAGCTGTGAACTTATGTGGCATGAAACCAGGAAGCCCGTCCATAAGATGGGCTTGAAGCGGGGACTTTGGTAAGCAATTTGGTTGGTCATTTGGATGACCATTTGGTTGGCACTTAGCTTGACTCTTTGGTTGTGTGCTTGAGTTGTCGCTTGCCTTGTCGCAGTCCCACTGGTAGGTGCCGACGCGATAACCATATTGACACTCACGCCACCCGTTGCCGTCAGACGCAGTGTACCTACATTGTTGGTATAAGAAAGACACTGCACGCAACAAACGACTACACATATCTTTCAACATGTCAAGCAACGACGACGGATCACCAGGGTAATAGAACCCTCCGTGGTTGTTCTCAAAGCAGCAGGCATACGGGTACGCAGCGTGGTCAGCGCCACTGCCGTGGCCCTGGATGGAGACTAATATTTTAGGTGACAATTTACATGTTTTTTCAATGTTACCATGAAGATAATCTAAGGATCTCTTCATGACTTCATCGGCCTTGTTGGGGAATGCACCGGTTACCTTGTCTTGCTCATTGAGCATCTTATCACAGTGCCCCTTAATTGTTTTATAAACTGCAGTGTGAGGAAGGCCAGAAAGCCATACACAGATATCACGCACTGAACACGGATACTTTTTGGACTTCGGGAGTCCGAGGTGGCAGGATTGGTAATACTCACTGACGTGAGATGTGAGACATTTAAGTAGGTCTATGATATTTACGTCATCTGTAATTTCTTTAAATGATGGGCATTTAACGAGATGAGCAATTTTGTTGACATCTTGCAGCGAAGCAACAAGTTTCTTGAAAACGTCTCCCCCCCTCATGTTGACATGACATCTCAGCTCTCCTTCATAGGACTCTTCCAACTTGGACACCCTGTAGCCGCAGTCCCTGAAAAATGCACCGAGGGGATTATAGACGCTTGGCTTGGATATGAGGGAAATTTTGTTTTCCCTGCAATCACCTTTCTTCTTGTCACATCTCTTATAGAGCTCACCTAAATCGTGAGTCAGAGTCTTGAGAATGGTGACGAGGATGCTGGCGCATTTTGTCTTGTCTGGATTCTTTTCATCGCTCCAGTTTATTGGATCAGCTCCATCGTATTTTGAAATATACGCTAATTGAAGTTGTTCGACCAAATCCGAGAAGCCATTTTTTAAAGCGTTGAGTAGCAAAGGGCTCTTGGCTTCGCCGTATGATTTTGGATTAAATGTAGTGAATGTTTTTTCGAGTGACTCTAAATTATTACTAAAGTCATGGTTAAAGTGCTGCGAAGTGGTCAGGTTGGTAAGTAAGTTGGTGAGTGCGTCACTCGAAGCCTTAACTTTCTGGAAGTCGGACATGAAGTCATCTTGGACTTGTAATTTCATGGCAAATGACACAAGTGCCGTCTTCAATTTAGAGGTGGCTAGGCTGAATGTGGACCTTGTTTGAGACGACATTCTTGTGGACCGAGTGGGCGAAGTATTGTGTATATTATTAATTTGCTTGATGAAATACTTTTCGAGTTTTGCCATGAATCCTTTGTGCGTTATCGTTAAGTCATCTTCTATCTGTTTCGGCAACTCCGCCAATAAATCAGTAGCCCTGTCAGCAAACTGTTCGAGGAACGACTTTATGGAAGACACATAATTCTTCTGCGCCTGCCTGTTCACTGCGCACAAAATGTTGTCGGTTTGTGTATTAACATATTCGTGAAGCTCCTTGGTAAAGTGTCTGCCGGCGTTATCGGCCAACTTATCAAGCAGCCTGTCGGAGTCTTGTATCACTTTTTTCAATTTCTCACTCTGCAAATCACTAATATTCTTTTTGATTTCCTCCAGTGTCTTACCAATCTTGTCGACCTCCATAATGTCCAAGTTCCCTTCTACGTCTTTAGCAGCGCGTCGCACTGCGCTGCATAGCTTGTCGAGATTTTTTGTGATTTCTGGCACCGTTTTGGTATTAAGTGTCTCGATCTCCGTCTGGATCAGCGCGAGGCCTTGGACTTTGTTAGTGGTGAGAGGTTGTTCCAGGTGGCACTCAATATTATGCTCAGTCGACTTTGTAATCATATTGTTCAATTCGGTCAGGTAGTTTTTGACGCCGTTCTTTTGACCGTCACTTTTAGTGCTGCTGTCGACCAGCCCGGCGATCGCTGTGAGTTGTTGCTGGATTTGGGAGAAGGGTTGTTGGAAGGTGGAAGTGTTCAGGATTTCGGGGATGTTGTCGGCATCCATAGCTGTAAATTTTTGCAGGCCATCATCTCTAATTTGGCCGATGGCCAATGGGAGTGAGCCTTCTCCTGAATTTTGCTTGCCGGTTAGAGCGGATAGTTTTGCTTTATCTTGAGTCACGTGCAATATATATTTCTTAAACTTATCGGAAAGGATGACTTCATTTGCACCGCCGTCATCAATTTGCCCAATCTGCGTTTCCACGGGATTGATAAGATCTTTTATGAGGGCCTGCAGACCTGTAGTGTTGTAATTTTTAGGCTGCTCATTTAGGCACTTAAAACCTTTTGCAATTTCGTCGAGATTTATATTGTCAATTTGGTACGCACCGCACCATTTTTTTAACTGGCTCTCACCTGGAACGCTGTTAAATAGTTCAGCACCGCGGCCACTTTTGGACGCAGTAACCAACTTCCTAACGTACGACAAAATCCCATTCTCTATCTTCTCCTTCACCCAATACAATTCGCCCTTCAGCGTATCATTCATCGATTTAATATTCTCCAACGCCGTCCCAACCAGCCTGGCAACTTCACTCTTAACACTCTCCGCCGCCACCCTGAGCTTCTCAGCCTTCTCGCGCATATCTTGAGCTTGAGTAAAAATCACAGCGTCCCCACCTGAATTACCAACTTTCCCCGCAATTTCTCCACACTTCTCCTGCGCAGCTCCCACAACTTTCCCGGCCGCGGTGTTCCAGGTGCCAAGCTCCGAAATTCTTTCCTTCAGAGTGCTGTCAATCTTCTCCGCAGCAGTGTCAATCGCCTTCCTATTTTCCGATCTTTCACCGGTATCAGTCCACTTAACTTCTTCTAGTATTTTTGTAACGTTTCCCTTAGCTGTTTCATTGATGAATTTTTTACATTCCGCCATCCACTTCTCCAGAGCCTTCACATACTTTTCGAGGCTGTTACTAATATCAACAACCTGTTTCAAAATGTCCGAGACCTTCTCTTTGAGAAATTTCACAAGCTTCTCTATCTGCCTACTAATTTCCTTGTTGATAATCCTTTTGAGCTCATCGAGCTGCGTTTTGTTTCCGGCTTTCATCGCCTCAAAGTCTGCAGCTTCCTTCTCTGCCAGCTTGGTCAAGCGTCTACGTTCATACTTAATGCATTCATTCACACTATTTATTGTGTCACGTAAATTAGGATTAAGATCATTAATTTCATCATATTGGCTATTAAGTGACTGTGAAAAAGTGTCAGCTTCCTGCTGACAATTCTTGAGAGATTCCTTTATGGCGGCGCACATATTCTCAACTTGCTCAGCTTCCTTGTCTCCAGACACCTTGTCAACCTGCATATTATTAAGCTCTCTATACAACTTACCATTTTTCTTCTTCATGAAATTGTAGTACTTTTCAATCGGCTCACTAACACTTTTATTCGACGCTGCCACTTTCTCATTATATGTACGCACACCACTCGCCACCGCGGCTATCGCCGCCTTGTATTTAGTAATACCATTATTATTTGTGTTGTTAAGTGATGTAAGTGCGCTATCTAAAGTGCCTTTATGCTGTCCTAATTTAGGCTTAATGTTATGCAAAACACCATGAAGAAAGGACATCACCCCGTCGCAGAGCCTGTCGAGGTCCGAGTACACGATTCCTTTCCCGGTGTAATTACCATTTTCATGGCCGAGAAATTTTTCGAGGCCTCCACAAAGACTCTCTAAAAGCTTTTTAGGCTGTTCATGATTTTGATCAATTTTCTCAGCATATCCACAAAGCTCTTTCAGTCTCTCAAGAGACTCCTTGGAAGCATTATGAGACTGAAGATCCTTATTAAGTTTGTCAATTTCAGAGGCATTTTTACTTTTATAATCGTCATTATTGTTATTTTTAAGCTTTTTAATTTGCTCTTCAAGCTCCTGAATTTTTTGAGTAATTGCATCATTAAGCTCTTTTAAGGGATCTTGAAGCTCATTTAACTTGCAGTCAGAAAGGATGTTATCAAGATTTTCAGCGGCTATTGGTTCCTCATTAAGGTGTTTTTTAAGCTTCTCATTGAATTCATTAAGGTTATTAATTGCCTCACCAGCATCCTTACAACACCCCTCACCTCCGCAAGATGTTTTTAAAAGCTTTTCAAGCTGATTTACATTACTTTGCAAACCATTTACAAGTGCATCTTTAACTTCTCCACTCCCACCAATAAAACCCGAAAGCTGTCCGGCAAGCTTACCAAGAGAGATGCGGCGGGTATCAATATCCTTCAAGGCTTTCCCCCTGGCATCCTCTGTAAGATAATGAACTTCATTGTAATGGTCATTGTAGGTGGATTGAAGGTGGTTTAAGGGAGAGTTAAAAGAAGTAAAGGAGGATTATTAAGGACATTTTCAGGGCGATTTGGGGGAATTTGGAGAAAGGCGATTTTAGGTCAAGGAGGCAGCGAGGGAGGTGGGTGGACAGGGTGAGGGAGGTGAGGGGGCGAGAGAGGGCCATGGAGGAGGAAGATGGGTGGAGAGAGGCGGTTTAAGAAATGGAGGGGGAATGTGGAAAATGAGGATTTGGGTGAAGGACGCCGACGGAGGAGGTGATGAAGGAGGGTGAAACAGGAGCGCAACCAAGTAAGGAAATGAGTGGTTGAAATATAGTGAGTGGTTTATAAAGTAAGTTGAATGGTTGATGGTTAGTATGATGAGTGAGTGATAAGTGAGTGTAAGTGAGTGACAAGTAAGTGAGTGGTGGGTGAATGGTTGAGTGAGTGGTGGTTAAATGGTTGAGTGAGTGATGGTGGGTCGATGGGAAGAGATGGTAAGGTGGGTGATGGTGAGTAAGTAAATGCAAGTATGAGTGATAAGTGAGATGCGTAGTAACAGGTGAGGATGTTGAGTGTTGAGTAAGTAAATGGTGGTTAGTGTGAGTGAGTGAGTGATGATGGTTAAATAAGATGATGAAGTGAGTGGTTGATTAGTAGTAAGTAAGTAAGTAGTGAGTGTTGAGAGTTGAGTAAGTGAGTATGTGGGAATAGTAAGTGGTGGTAAGTGATGAGTAAGTATTTGTAAATATATGATGAGTAAGTATTGATGGTAAATGAGTAAGTAAATGATGAGTGATGATTGATGAGTGAATGAATCGTTGAGTGAATGAGATTAATGCGGGCGATGAATGCGGTAGTAAGTGGGATGGGTAGATGATGGTGGGTAGTAAATGCATTGAGTGGCGATGAATGTGGTGGTGGTGAGATGAGTGTGAGTGTAGTGGTGAGTGATGAGTGTGATGAGTGTGAGTGATCGGTGCATGTGAGTGAGTGGTTGAGTGGGTGAGTGGTTGAGTGGTTGAGTGGGTGAGTGGTTGAGTGGTTGAGTGGGTGGGTGAGTGGTTGAGTGGTTGGGTGAGTTGGTGAGTGGTTGGGTGGTTGAGTGAGTGGGTGGCTGAGTGAGTGGTTGAGTGGGTGGTTGAGTGAGTATGTGAGTGGGTGAGTATGTGGGTGAGTGAGTGGGTGGTTGACTGGGTGAGTGGGTGGGTGAGTGGTTGAGTGGGTGAGTGAGTGAGTGAGTGAGTGGGTGAGTGGGTGAGTGGGTGAGTGGGTGATACACAGATCACACGTGAAGGCACGATTATGGTGAGAAGTACTTGACGTTGGCTATTTTCCCAACGCGTGCGGCGGCGAGGAGGGACTGCGCGGCGATGCGGTGGCTTGAGGGTGATCTCAGGTGGGAGCGTATCCTCAGGACGTCGAGGCGGACGACGGTGATGTGCAGCAGGTAGAGCAATGAAAATACCCAAAGCCCTACTAATGTCCATATAAAATTCTTCCTTACAGCAAGAAGGAAATCGTCGATCGCGCTTAGGAAATTACCTAGCGTCTGGGAACACAATATGCGATCAATTGCGTTGCAGAAATAGTCACACTTTTTCATGCTTCCGCTGGAGATGTTTGCGTAGGTGAGTCCACATTGGTAAAACACGGAGGACACTCCTTTACAGTGGACGATGGATTTACAGGCACATGGCTTGGTGCCATGCTTGCCTTTCATACAACCGTCACTGTTAAGACATCCACGGCAACTGTGGTCATGACAAGATATATCGCAGAAAGCCTTTTTCAGTTCCTCGAGGAACTTTTCGATTCGAGGACAAACGTGCACCAACCATGACAAATACTTGTGTGCGTTTTTGGCTGCCAGAACGGAGTAGGCGGAAAAGTTCAGTGGACGGAAATATTTCCCGCATTGTTCACTCTCACAGCCAAGTAGATATTTTAGGTCAGGTGCGTTCTTATCAATGTCGTGATTTTTATGAGTTGAAGATTCATACAAAAGACGGCAAGGATTAAAAATTTTACGTGCATCTTCTGGTTTACATGACACAGTAGCCATGATTTTATCGTAGACCATGCGTTGAACAGGATGCCTTGGTCTGGCATCTATTGGCATAAATTCCCATGACTCTGTGAATTGGCAATAGAAACTGAATACATCTGTCAGCGTTTTCGGAGGGCGACCAAGGAGGCAGTTAAGAGATGAATAGAGAATAGTGAAAGTGCCATCATCACGCAGCATTTTGGTTAGCACGTTACATAGCTCTTTGCCTGACCTTTTACTTCCTGAGAAACCTCTGAAGCCGAGTGGCGTGAGACATGGCATACTGGGTTGATTCTTAGGACATGTGGAACATACCGATTTGCAGCCAACATTGGTGAGTTGATGTGGGAGGTGACCGGGAAGGTTGTCAGTAAGGTACAGCATAAGTGGTGAACCGGGAGGGCAATTGGATTTATCACTATTATGGTTATTACATTGCCAATTGGTTAATGTAACATCTCCGCCGTACTTGCAGTTCGCCCAACCATACTGTGATGATTTGTAATTACACTGCAGCTGTAAGAAAGTGAGTACGGCATACGTTCTATGGAGGATGTCCAGGAGCGTGTCAAGACAATCTCCTCCGCTTTTAGGGTACGCTAAACCTAGGGTGTTGTTCTGATATTGGCAACCATAGTACGTTTGGGCATCGCCAGTGCCAGCAATGCGAGTGAGAACGTCATAGAATCGGGAAGCTAGCTTTCGAACTCCGAATGCCACGTCGTCAGCTGAGAATTGTCGGTTATGTGCGCTGAGGAGCAGAGACTCTGGTTGTATTGCGGAATATTTGTCATCCTTTTGACCTTCTGGCTTATCAAATAGGGTTTTAATCTGTTCCGTAAGGGCATTAAATACAGGATTATACGGAAGGCCCCCGACCCATGTCAACATCTCATAAATATTACACGGTGTTCTAGGTGACACTACAGTTTTAAAGTGGCAAACGTGGAAGTATTCTTTAAGGTGATGGTAAAGACATGATAGAATGTCGATGGCAGTGATGTTATCATTCTTGCCTTTAGTTGCATTACAATTCTTGAGATGATCAATTTGGTTGGACTTAGGAATTTTATCATTCAGTTTATTTCGGACAACTCTGCCGTTGCACTCCGGCTTATTAATTAACTCACCGTCTTGGATACCATCTTTAGAGGCAACACGGTATCCAGAGTGGTGGAAGAATTGGCCAAGCTCATTTGTCGAATTAATGTCACTACCATACCACTGTCCACAATCAATTCTTAACTTAAGCAAGTCACGACGTAACGTTGATATTACAGTGAGACAGACGTTAGACAACTGTCTGCCTTCGGTGGTCAACACCTTTTCATTGGCCTTTGGAACTGGAGCTTTTACAGCGAATATTTTCGAAGGGGCATCGTCTTCTTTGTCCTTTAATAATTTACCAAAGTCTATTTTATCATGTCCGCTGTACCTGTTCACGTACTGTTTGCCCAGCTCGTCCGCCAGTCGCTTCGCTCCAGCGGTCAGCGCGTCGAGCAGCTCAGGGTGCCGGTGGCCGTGGAACTGCTTGGGGGTTAGTGCGGCAAGCGCTTCGTTCAGTGCGGCTAGGTCAGAAGTGAACGTGTGGTCGAAGTGGGAGATTTTTGTGGGATGTTCTAATTTCAGGTGGCTGAGTAAGTTGTCCAGTTGCTGTTTGAGGCGGTCGACATGGGGGGAGTGGGACTGGGAGGAGGTGTAAAGGCAAATTGGGTGGATGTAAGATAGGAACTTGGTGGACAAATCTGTGAATTTTGTACGATGTTCTACGGCATTTAGAGGTGCGGTAAGTTGAAGATTTTGAATGGGATCAAGTAATGTCGCAGCGCTGCCAAATTTGGGAACACCGTTTGGCAGACTAAATTCCACACCGCTCAGAGACTTTATTAAACCCTTAATTCCGGTGATTTTGTCCTTTGCGATGGTCTCAGTAATTATTTCATATTGTGCGTTGACGATGTTTTTCAACGCTTCAACTTCTCTATGCTTCGTCGCGGTGTATCGTCGCTTGGCTTCGTCTAGTACGGCAGTGAAGGACGAATCGATTTTGCGGATGATGTCTTTACGTAAAACCTCCATTACGGAAGCAACCCATTTGGGGGCGTTTGTAACTAATTCGGTGGTATACGAAATACAAGCTGCTAGCTCGTTACGCACATATTCAACGTTATCCACAACTGACGTTACTTTCGTGCCAAGCTCTGTGATCGAGTCTCTAAGTTTCTTCAGATCTGCGTGGACACTGCTCGGAATATTTTCATTTTCGCCAACTGTATTTTTCAAAAATTCCGCGATTTTGGAGTGCAGTTGCTTGGCATTTTTCTCGAGCGGAGACGTCCCCGCTGGTAATAATACAAACGGTTCTGTTGTTTCCTCCTCATTACGCAGCTCGGCAAGCGCTTTCCTAACTGCCTCGAGCTTATCTTTAACAATCTTCGTAACTTCCGCCTGATGATTTTTTATGCCTATACTGCACGCCTCTTTAAGGAGTGCGGTGAGCTCGCCGTCAGCCTGGTTAACTTGCTTACCAACGCTAGCATCAATTTTGTCGGCCAGTGTAACCTGCTCGGCGGGCTCGGTGCCATTTCCGTTGAGTGCTTTGTCGAGATCTCTGTGAAACTCCTTAATTTGCTTACCAACTGCATTCATCGCTGCAGTGATCCTATCACCTGGCTCGCGGCTTCTACCGTCGCCTTTCTCGGTGCCAAGCCTTTTTTTGATCAGATCGACATCTAATATAGCTGCGTCTACTTTGTCGCCGAGATTGAAGGTGGTGTTCTTGTTGGTGAAAGACCTAAGCGCGTTGCCAGTCTGTCTGGCTGTAGCAGCGAGTGTGACGATGATGTGTTCCACGGCAGATTGGAGATCAGGTTTGTTATTGGAACCATGCTGCAACACATCATCTTTATCAATTTCTTTATATATAGTATGCAGAAAGGTATACGTAGAAGGGGTTATCAGTTTATCTTCCAGCTTCTCTGCAAAACTATTGCAAACGGCCTGGACGGCTAGCACATTTTCATTAATATCGGTGGAGGGACTGACGTTCTTGTTCACCTGGCTCGTAACGCCACCATTGAGCTGTTTCTTGATGAATTCATTCATTACCTTTCTGAACTTCTCATTAATTCCCTCGCCGTTTTCACCCTGATATGTGGGTTTCAAACTTGGATTACCATTAACATACGCGCCAAGATGCTTGCTCACAACACCATTATTCACCAAAATCCTGGTTATCCATTTTGTCAAAACATCCCTCTCAAATCGCCCATTTGTGAATTTCTGCGCATAATCCTTCACATAGTTCACAATGTTTCCGATGTTACCGGATTTTGCTTTTAAAGGACTCGCATCCTCCTTATAAATGTCCTCAACCAGCTCCGTGATTTGATCCTTCAATTCAACCCAATTTCCACATATACCGAAATTTTTTTTGCCATTCTCCCCAACTCCATTTTTAATACTCTCCACTTCCTCCTTAACCTTACTGACATACTTCTGAACATACTGCGTCAAATGCTCATTTAGTTCATTTTTGAGTAGCCGGATGGGATCAGTCAAATTCCACTTATCACCAACACCACCATTAATAAACTGCTGCAAATTCCTTTTCGCAGTCACCTGTCTCTCAAGTTCATATTTGGCACCTTGTAGAACACTCATCTGCTCGCTCAAAGCCTTCACCTGTCTTCTGAGCTCCTCCTTCTCTTTGCTTACCAACTGCTGAAGCTCCTGTGCATTGTCTCTAATACTAGTAAGCTCCTTAACAATATCTTCCTTGTATCTCCCTTCTAGATTCGTAATGCCAAGCTGGACAGGGCCAAGGGCCCCGGCAAGACCGGAGTCGACAGACGTTTGAAGAGTTTTAAATTGCGTACCACGTAGGGCATCAAGTTTCTTATTCAACTTCTGAATCTCATTTCGAATGTGTTTTTTGAGCTGCTGACTACTCCCATCAATTTTATCTCTAGCATACTTCGTCACCTCATTCAAATAGAACTCCGCCGACTGGAACACGATGACGAGATCATTGTTTTCCGCCTCTTGCTCGAACTTTTTGACAGCCTGTACAACCAATGAAATATTCGTACGTAGCTTACCTGATAGGATGGGATCAATTCCGTTTAATGCCTCTTCGGCTTCTTTCGTCTTCTTTGTGTACCACTGTGCCCGGTCAACCCAAATGCCAAATAGCGTAGAAAGCTCTCTATGCTTCTCTTCATCAATTACGTTTTCACCTGCATTAATACTAAGAAGAAGTGACTTTATGGAACCTGCAACTTTCTCCGTCCTCTCCTCCACCTGCACCGCATGTTTTTTCAACCACCCACTTACCTCAGACACGGCGGCCTGGAAGGCCTCACGGCCTTTACCTACATTATCATGTAAAGTTTTAATAACATTAGTAATCTTTAAAGCATCATTATCATACTTTGTAACGTTTTCATCATCCTTCACACTCTCAAGAACACCATGAAGGAAAGACATCACCCCGTCGCAGAGCCTGTCAAGATCGGAGTACACGATTCCTTCTCCGGTGTAATTACCATTCTCGTAGCCGAGAAATTTTTCGAGGCCTGTGCAGAGGTTATTTAAAAGGTTTTTACAGTTATCAGATTTTTTATCAACTTTCTCAGCAAAATCACAAAGCTCTTTCAGTGTCTCAAGAGACTCCTTGGATGACTGATGAGACTGAAGATGCTTATTAAGTTTGTCAATTTCAGAGGCATTTTTAGGAGGTTGATAAACAATTAAGAGAAGTAAAGGGGGATGAAATGGCACATTTTCAGGGCGATTTGGGGGAATTTGGGGAAAGGCGATTTTAGGTCAAGGAGGCAGCGAGGGAGGTGGGTGGACAGGGTGAGGGAGGTGAAGGGGCGAAAGAGGGCGATGAGGGAGGAAGATGGGTGGAGGTAAGGCGGTTTTGGGGGTGGAGGGAAAAAGGTGGAAATGAGGATTAGGGTGAAGGACGCCGACGGAGGAGGTGAAGGAGGAGGGAGGATGGAGCGAAGCGACCAGTGAAGGAGGAGGTGAGTGGTTGAGTATGTGAGTGGGTGGTTGAGTGAGTGGGTGAATGGGTGAGTGGGTGAGTGGGTGGGTGAGTGGTTGAGTGGTTGAGTGAGTGGTTGAGTGAGTGGGTGAGTGGGTGGGTGAGTATGTGAGTGGGTGAGTGGGTGGGTGGGTGAGTGGTTGAGTGGTTGAGTGGTTGAGTGGTTGAGTGGGTGAGTGGGTTAGTGGTTGAGTGAGTGGGTGAATGGGTGAGTGGGTGAGTGGGTGAGTGGGTGGTTGGGTGAGTGAGTGGTTGAGTGGGTGGGTGAGTGGGTGATTAGGTGGGTGAGTGAGTGGGTGAGTAGGTGGTTGAGTGGGTGAGTGAGTGGGTGGGTGAGTGGGTGGGTGAGTGTGTGAGTGGGTGGTTGAGTGAGTGGGTGAGTGAGTATGTGAGTGGGTGAGTGGGTGAGTGAGTTGGTTAGTGAGTGGGTGGGTGAGTGAGTGAGTGGTTGGGTGGGTGAGTGGTTGAGTGGTTGAGTGGGTGGGTGGTTGAGTGAGTGAGTGTGTGGTTGAGTGGGTGAGTGGGTGATTAGGTGAGTGGGTGAGTGGGTGGTTGAGTATGTGAGTGGGTGAGTGAGTGGGTGGGTGATGAGTAGGTGAGTGGGTGAGTGAGTGGTTGAGTGGTTGAGTTGGTGAGTGAGTGGTTGAGTGGTTGAGTTGGTGAGTGAGTGAGTGAGTGAGTTGGTGAGTGGGTGGGTGGTTGAGTGGGTGGTTGAGTGGGTGAGTGAGTTGGTGGGTGGTTGAGTGGTTGAGTGGTGAGTGGGTGAGTGATTAGATGAGTGGGTGGTTGAGTGGTTGAGTGGGTGAGTGAGTGGGTATGTGGGTGGGTGAGTGAGTGGGTGGTTGAGTGGTTGAGTGGTTGAGTGGGTGAGTGGGTGGTTGAGTGGTTGAGTGGTTGAGTGGTTGAGTGGTTGAGTGGGTGGGTGGGTGAGTGAGTGGGTGAGTGGGTGGGTGGTTGAGTGAGTGGGTGAGTGAGTGGTTGAGTGGTTGAGTGGTTGAGTGGGTGAATGAGTGGGTGGGTGAGTGGGTGTGTGAAGGCACGATTATGGTGAGAAGTACTTGACGTTGGCGAGTGCCTTGACGCGTGCGGCGGCGAGGAGGGACTGTGCGGCGATGCGGTGGCTTGCGGGCGATCTCAGGTGGGAGCGTATCCTCAGGACGTCGAGGCGGACGACCGTGATGTGCAGCAGGTACAGGAGCGACAGCGACCAGAGGGTGAGTAACAAAAACATAAAGGGCATTCTTATATAATAGAGGAATTCATCACATTTGTCGAACAGGTCTATGAAATGTTTTGAGTTAAGGACATTCCTTAATTGAGTTACGAAGCTGGTACAATTTTTGCGAGAACCTGCAGAATTCAATGCTCCTGCTTCTCCAAATCTGAATCCCCATCTATATAATGTAGGCATCACAGCACAGCATTGAACGATCGACTGGCAATGACATCCTGGTTTTGGCTCGGCGTTTGTTTGTGCTTTTGGTTGGCCGATTGAGTGGGCATTTACCTGGGTGCTTGGTATGGTTTTTGGTTCGGGTGTTGATTCGGACTTTTGTTCGCCTACTCCATGTTTACCAGGGGAGCAGTTACAGGAAGAGCAACCCGACGATTTGCAATTGATATTGCAGAAAGCCTCTAACAGTGCCTTCAGAAGGCTGTAAAAATCAAACGCCAAATAAAGCGCCCAGGACGTGTATAGGTGTGCGTGTTTCTTGGTGTAGGTGTGATGGGCGTTTTGGGATAGTGGCTCTAAATATGCAGCACAGTCTGCATTGTCATAAGAGCAGTTTACATTTCGTCTACTTAAAAGGTGTGTTGACAAGGAATCTATTGCGCAATGATTATAATTTACGTGATCACTACCTGTGGCATTTAGGATTGCATTCGTGATTTCCGACGCAATATAATCACCGTGAAGCACTGCAGAAAGTGGGAAGCTGTTCGGAATTGTTGCATTCTGTATATGCGTTATGAGTTTAGTATTGCCGATATATGTATCGGATTTCCATGTTCGGAATATATTTAAGAAGAATGTATACATGTCTGACAATGATTTCGGCGCTGTAGGGCAGAGATTTGACATTGATCGGTAGAGTGAAAACAGATACGCACCGGAATAACCACACAATCTGTCGAGTAATTCATTAAGATCTTTGCCGTGCCCGGTTGTGGATGCAGTGTAAGTAAGGTCGCGGAATCCCATTGGGGTAAGGCATTGCTGACCCGGTTGGTTAGTCTTGCAGGTGGAACATGAAAGTGATGTTCCTGTAGACATTACATCATGCGGTAAGAAGCCTGCAAGGCCATCGCCTAAGAACGATTGCAGTGGAGACGTTGGTTGGCAATTTGGTTGAGTGTTTGGTTCGCACTTTGGTTGGGTGTTTGCTTGACACTCAGCTTTGTCTACTGAGTGGTCGCTACATTGCCAGTTTGATGAGGGAATACCTTGGCCGTATGCACAATTGCTCCACCCGTTGCCAATGAGTGCTGTACTCTGGCACTGGGAGTAGAGGAAATACAACGCCGAACATACACGTCTTACTATGTCATAGAACATTGATAGCAGTGAGGCGGCATCTGAGGGATAGTGGAAATTATGATGGTTATTAGAGAAGTGGACGCTGTACGGGTAATCTGCGTTCACTGCGCCACGTCCGTTGCCACAGATTGCAACTAGGAGGGAAGCGGACAGTGAGCATGTTGCTTCAATATTAGAATACAGGCCACCAATGCATTCTCTCATGACCGGATAGTCCTTATTGGGGATACCATAGCTGTCTTTCAAATCAAGCAACTTGTCACAGTGCTCTTCAATCTTACGGAACACGCCAGTGTATGGAAGCCCCGCCGTCCATGCTAACATGTCTCTAACTGAACTAGGATGTTTAGGTGATGAAGGGAGTTTATGGTGGCATACGGCGTAATAACGCTGGAGATTCTTGAAAAGAGTTCTAAGAATATCGGAGTCTTTGATGGGGAATAACTTATTTATACCGTATATACATTGGTAGCCTCGTTTATCTTCATGGTTTCGCAATACACCGTCCTGGGAAGTAGCCAATTTGGAAACCTCGAAGCCAGACGACTGGAAGAAATCACCGAGTTTCGTGATTGAATTTATCTTGTCGTATTTCCAATCATGATTACACTGATATTTGAGCTCCCAGAGGTCGCGGTTCAGCATGGGAACGCAGCTGAGAAAAGCTTGTGCATACATGTCTCTGTCCTCCGGTTTTAATATGTCCCACGCCACACTCTGTCCCGAATACTTGGAGACGTACGCCATGTTAACTTGGCTTGTAAATCCTTTCACACTCTCCTTCAATACCTGTAACAGTGGATTGGCGTCATCAGTGAACTTGGAGGGTGTGAAGGTTTCAGCGGCCTGGGCGGCTTGTTTGATATTTTCAGAGACTTCATGGCTGAAATGGTTTTCTTTTATCATTTTCTGGAGTAAGTCAGTTAACGCTTCGTTGACTTTTGACGCTTTGTCCTTGGATGGATGGTTGGCAATCTGGCCAGATACGTATGTCCAGAACGTTTTGTACCATGCATTCAAACGCTGAGCTGCGTCTCTCAATTCCTTTTCATCCTCTATTGGCGCAACGATTGTATGGCTAGTATTCATCTTATTCAGCAATCCCTTTATGCCGCTCTCCTTATCTTTCTTAATAATATCTTCTATTATAGATTTCTTGCTGGTCACTAAGGTTGTCAACGCCGCCAGCTGGGCAACCTTGTCATTTGCGAACATGGCCTGCACTTGGTGGGTGAGTTTTTGAAAGATTTCCTTTACGGTTTTCGTGAGTTCATCGTGAAGCGATGTTATTGCTTGAGTCAATGCTTCCTTGCATTGTTGATGAGTTGATTTGGCTTCTTGGATGGACTGTTGAAGAGATGAATTAAAGGCTATTATATCGTCTTTGATCTTATTAACGTCCACCAGAATATCGGCAACGCGTCTTTGAACAGATGTCACCTGTCCTTTTATACCGCCTTCTGCCTGTACCTTCGTATTGGAAACTAACGCTGTGAGTTGGCTAATCTTCTGCTGAAGTACATATATTTGCGCTGGAATATTATCTGACGAGGCAACTGGTTTCTTGTTTAACTTATCAATATGCGTCTGAATTGCAGGCTCAACACCTTTAAGTTGGCTATGAATCTTTGTCACTCTAACATTAAGCCTACCAATGCCATTGATTACTGCTTCTTTTAGGAGTTCACCGAGTTGTTTATTGACCTCTTGCGCGGCGATTTTTTCGTCAATTCTTTTTTCAACACTGTCGGTAACGTTAACTTTGAGAGGCTCGGATATAGCAGCGGAAGGTGTAGCTGCCGTTCCGAGATTATTTTGAAGCTGCTCGATTTTTGTTGTAACCAGTTGTAACGCCTCAGTGATTTTCCTACCTGGTTGATCATCGCTGCCGACACTGTTGCCAAACCTTGTTTCTATTGAGGCCACATTTTTAATAGCTGCCTCCAAGTTGAAGCCAAAGTTGAAAGTTATAGTCTTCGAATCGTCTTTCGCAGTGCTGAAAGATTTAAGCACATTGGCCGTCTGTCTGGCTTTGGCTTGCAGTGCCGTGAGCGTTGCGTAGACGGCTCTCTGTAGATTAAGAGTGTATTTGGGCTCTTCGCCTCCTTTTTTAACTTTGGCATTAATTGTCTTGGCAAGCTGGCCAATATTAATATTTCGTTTCGTTATGCTCTTCTCAAGTTCCTCACCTAGTTTTTGGGCAAATGTCCCACAAATGCCCCTGACGTAATTTACATTCTCGGTAATGCCATTGTGTTCGATGGCACTTGCAGCCTTTGCACCAGATGCATCAAGTACGCTTTTAATTTGCCCCTTAATTATACCTGCTATTGTCTCCGCCTTTTCCAGCTTCATTCCATCGATGCTCGCAGGTATATACGCACCATCTACCTTACCCTTATTGCCGTCGACATTAACATACTCTACAAGCCAATATCTCACCTCACTATTATTCCCCCAAATATCCTCAATCCACTGCTCAATTAATTTCTCAAACCCATCCTGCCCCTCCTTGAACTTCATCGCATAAGCCAGCACTCTCTGCTTAATTCCCTTGAGACCTTTGTAATTTGGTTTTCCCGTTTCCCCTGATTTACCATTAATGTCTCCAACAAGCCTTGTAACCTGCTGTTGAAGCTGATGCCAATTGTAATATACGCTGTCCCCTGTGCCGATTGTGGAACGCTCACCAACCTTATCTCCAATATCCCTCACCTGCTGCCGAACTTTCCTGACATAGTCTGTAAAATATTCCTTGACGTTCTTCTTAATTTCATCCTTAAGCGCAGAAATCTGCTGCTGCAACTGACTCCTAATATTTTCCAAACCCCTGTCAACCTGACCTTCAACCTCTCTATGTGTGCTCTGCAGCTCTGGCAACTTTGTTGCAAGTATATCCAACTGTTCACTAACTCGGTAGACTATCTGTTGGATTCCAGTATCAATTTCAGCCGTGCTTAGCGCATCGGTTTGTTCATTTATTGTACCCAACTGATCAACAATTTTACTCTGATATTCACTCACCAATGCTTTTGCCGCTACATCAGCCTGTCCAACAGTGTCAACCAACTGCTCGACCAATCCCAACAGCGGTACCAGCTGCTTAGTGCGCTCATTTCCAATTTCACATATTTTATCATATATCTCACCGAGCTTGCTATCTAACGTCTTCTGAAGTTTATCGCTCTCCTCTCTTACTTTTTCCAGCAGGCCGTCTTTTTCCTCCACCAATGTCTTATCGACATATGCCACCTGCCGCTGGAAAAACCCGTTCACCGCTGAGTCCTTCAGCACGGCCAACGTCGCCTTAACAGGCTCTATTTCATGCATTATGTTAGTTTTTAATGTGCTATCTAATAAATTAATGTGCTGTTTCTCAGTGTCACTAATGTGCTTATCAAGTGTATTAAGTGTGGAGCTCCATGACTCCAACTGGTCTTGGAGCTTGTCACCTTTCTTGTCCTCCGCCGTCTTCGAGTGCCTGCAAATCAATGATAATAATCTATGTACACGTTCACTTACCTTTTTAGTCTTCCCCTCCACCTGCTCACCATGTTTTTTCAACCACTCACTTACCTTAGCCACGCCTTCACGGAAGGCCTCACGGCCTTTACCTACATTATGTAAATTGGTAATAACTGTATTAATATTATTAAGCTCATTATTATCATATGTTGTAACGCTATCATCATCCTTCACACTCTCAAGAACACCATGAAGGAAAGACATCACCCCGTCGCAGAGCCTGTCGAGGTCGGAGTAGACGATGCCCTCTCCGGTGTAATTACCATCATGGTAGCCGAGAAATTTTTCGAGGCCTGTGCAAAGGTTATTTAAAAATGTTGTTGAAGGATTATTTTAGGCACATTTTTAGGGTGATTTGGGGGAATTTGGGGAAAGGCGATTTTAGGCCAAGGAGGCAGCGAGGCAGTGAGGGAGGTGGGTAGACAGGGTGAGGGAAGTGAAGGGGCGAGAGAGGACGATGAAGGGGGAAGATGGGTGGAGGTAAGACTATTTTGGGGGTGGAGGGAGAAGGTGGAAATTGAGGTTTTGAATGAAGGACGCCGACGGAGGAGGTGATGAAGGGGGAGGCAGGGAGCGAAGCGACCAGTGAAAGAGGAGGTGGGTGGGTGGTCAGGTGAGTGGGTGGGTGGTTGAGTGGGTGGTTGAGTGGCTGAGTGAGTAGGTGGGTGAGTGAGTGGTTGAGTGGGTGGGTGAGTGATTAGGTGAGTGAGTGGGTGAGTGGTTGAGTGGTTGAGTGGGTGAGTGGTTGAGTGAGTGGTTGAGTGAGTGGGTGGTTGAGTGAGTGGGTGGGTGGGTGAGTGAGTGAGTGGTTGAGTGAGTGAGTGAGTGAGTGGGTGAGTGGGTGAGTGGTTGAGTGGGTGGTTGAGTGAGTGAGTTGGTGAGTGGTTGAGTGGGTGAGTGAGTAGGTGGTTGAGTGGGTGAGTGGGTGGGTGAGTGGGTGAGTGTGTGAGTGGGTGGTTGAGTGAGTGAGTTGGTGAGTGGGTGAGTGGGTGAGTGGTTGAGTGGGTGGTTGAGTGAGTGAGTTGGTGAGTGGGTGGTTGAGTGAGTGAGTGAGTGGGTGAGTTGGTGAGTGGGTGAGTGGTTGAGTGGTTGAGTGGGTGAGTGAGTGGGTGAGTTGGTGAGTGGGTGAGTGGTTGAGTGGTTGGGTGAGTGGGTGAGTGAGTGAGTGGGTGGGTGGTTGAGTGGTTGAGTGAGTGAGTGGGTGGGTGGGTGGGTGAGTGGGTGGTTGAGTGAGTGGGTGGTTGAGTGAGTGGGTGGTTGAGTGGGTGGTTGAGTTGGTGATTAGGTGGGTGAGTGGTTGAGTGATTGGGTGAGTGTGTGAGTGGTTGAGTGGTTGGGTGAGTGGGTGAGTGAGTGAGTGGGTGAGTGGTTGAGTATGTGGGTGGGTGGTTGAGTGGGTGAGTGGTTGAGTGGGTGAGTGAGTGAGTGGGTGAGTGGTTGAGTGTGTGGTTGAGTGGTTGAGTGAGTGAGTGGGTGAGTGGTTGAGTGTGTGGTTGAGTGGTTGAGTGGTTGAGTGGGTGAGTGAATGGGTGGTTGAGTGGGTGAGTGGGTGAGTGGGTGGGTGAGTGGGTGGGTGAGTGGTTGAGTGTGTGGGTGGGTGGTTGAGTGGTTGAGTGGTTGAGTGGTTGAGTGGTTGAGTGGTTGAGTGAGTTGGTGGGTGGTTGAGTGGGTGGTTGAGTGGGTGAGTGGGTGGGTGGTTGAGTGAGTGGGTGAGTGGTTGAGTGGGTGAGTGAGTGGGTGGTTGAGTGGTTGAGTGGGTGAGTGGGTGAGTGAGTGGTTGAGTGGGTGGTTGAGTGGTTGAGTGGGTGGTTGAGTGGGTGGGTGGGTGATTATGTGGGTGAGTGGGTGGTTGAGTGGGTGGTTGAGTGGTTGAGTGGTTGAGTGAGTGGGTGGTTGAGTGGTTGAGTGGGTGAGTGGGTGAGTGAGTGGTTGAGTGGGTGGTTGAGTGGTTGAGTGGGTGGTTGAGTAGGTGGGTGAGTGGGTGGTTGAGTGGGTGAGTGAGTAGGTGGTTGAGTGGTTGAGTGAGTGAGTGAGTGAGTGGGTGGTTGAGTGGGTGAGTGAGTAGGTGGTTGAGTGGTTGAGTGGGTGACACACAGATCACACGTGAAGGCACGATTATGGTGAGAAGTACTTGACGTTGGCGAGTGCCCTGACGCGTGCGGCGGCGAGCAGCGACTGGGCGGCGATGCGGTGGCTTGAGGGTGACCTCAGGTGGGAGCGTATCCTCAGGACGTCGAGGCGGACGACGGCGATGTGCGCCAGGTAGAGCAAAGAGAGGGACCAGAGGACTAATAATGTGGTCATGAAAGGATGTCTGATATAATAGATAATATTATCACATGCTTTTAGTAATGCGCTAAAATGCTCTGAGCCGATGACATTGCTGAGCTGAGTGTGGAAATCACGGCATGACTTACTGTCTGGATTTTTCATCAAAGCCATGGAGTCTCCAAATGTGAATCCATATCTGTGGAGAGTCATCAAGGAACCATGGCAGTGGACAAATGTTTTGCAGGTACAATTGTTTTCTATACCATGTTTACCGATAGGACACTTACATTTCGAGCATCCGTAGGCTTTGCAATCGATATTGCAGAAGTCCTCTAACAGTGACTTCAGAAGATTGTAAAAGTCGAACGTCAGATAAGTCATCCAGGACAGATACAAGTTTGCGTGCTTATTAGGATATGTGTGATGGGTGTCATTGCAAAGCGGTTTTAGATATGGAGCGCAGTGGGAATTGTCTATTTTGCACTTTCTATGCGGCTCTACTACAAATTGCGTGCTGAGACTATGTAAGTCAGAGTGCGTGGAGTCACTGGATACGTTACTTTTGTGGTCTGATTTCGGACCAGATAAAGATTCCAGACATTGTGTCAGTGTCGTAGCCTCAGTTGCATAAAGGTTTATAGACGTGGCCGGAATTACACGGGAATTCATATGGTCGAGTAGAGCGGAATTAATGAAGAATTTCGTAGATGACCAGCGAATAAAAATGTTATTAAAGAATGAGAACATGTCACCAAGGCTCTTAGGAGGATAGGGATTTACTGACAAAAGACAGCGTAACAATGCAGGCAACGGTGAGTTTGCATCAGCGCACAAGTCGGCAAGCACGTTGCATATATCTTCACCGGTGCCATCCTTGGACGCTGCATGAGTCAGGTCCCAGAAGCCCATAGGGGTAATACAGATTTGCCCAGCTGAACCCTTAGAGCACGAAGAGCATACAGACCTACAGCCAACAGACGTTACCTTATGTGGCAAGCAACTAGGAAGGCTGTCTGTTAGGTGCGCTTGCAGGGGTGATTTTGGTTGGCAACTTGGTTGAGTGTTTGGTTGACCATTTCGTTGGCACTTTGGTTGACTGTTTGATTGGCAGTCAACTTTGGTGCTAACATCGTCGCAATTCCAGTGGTAACCTGGCACTTTGCGACCATAGTGACAGGCACGCCAGCCGTTACCCTGGGATACAGTGCATTTACACCGGGAATAAAGGGCATACAATGAGCATAATAAACGCCTACATGTATCTACAAGCACATCAAACAGGGCAGGCACGTCTTGGGGATAATAAAAGTTCCGTGAATTGTCTGCGAAGTGGCAGGCGTAGGGATAATCTGCGCTAGAGGCACCGTGGCCATTACCGTATATAGTTGTGAGGAGAGTGTGTGACATGTCACTCGTGGCAGAGAGATTCACAAGTAAATCGGCACTGAGGATTTGATTAATTACGCCGTCTTCCCTATTGGGCATTCTATCCGTCCCGGGTATTTTCTCATCAAGCAATTTTTTGCAGTGGGCGGGAACCTTAGTGAACACGCTAGTGTAGGTGAGACCGGAGAGCCATGACAACATGTCTCTGATGGAACAAGGATATTGTGGTTTGGGAATATGTTTAGAGTGGCATACTTTATAGTAATCAGGTAGGTAACGGTGGAGTAAGGACAACGGACCCCATTGTCGCCTAATGGAATAAAGGTATTGCACTAGAGTATTCTTACCGGTGTCATCCGTTTCGGGATTCGTCTGGAAATCGTCGTAAAGTGTGAACGCTGATCTCAATTTTTCGGCAACGTGCTGGCCGCTGTGTTCCTTGGTGATGAGATTTGAAATCGTGTAACCCAGCTTTGTGAAATGTGTTTGTAGGCCATCATTTTCGTATTTAGTACCATCAATGGTAGCGTACGTCCAGGCAGTCTTGCCGTAATAGAATATGCCGTACAATTGCTCATACAGCGGGGATATTATAGTAAGTAAGGCACTGGCACATTTCATGGCATCCTTTGTGAGTGCATTATTCTTTCTTGCATCGGTCCACGTAATTGTCTCACCATCATACGCCGACACGTACGCCTTTTCGAGTTCAGCGTGCATCCCTGTCAGGCCTGTTTTTAGAACGTCGAGTAGGGGATTGCTTTCGGTGGAGTACGAAGCGGGGCGGATGGTTGTGAGGGTGGAAGCAAGGGCGGAGAGGTTAGTTTGGAAGGTGGTGTCAAAAATGTATTTTCTAGTGGAGTTATCGATACCATTAAGGTGAGTGAGTAACGCATCTAATTTGCTTTTAACGTTGGTAAGGTCATCAACGTGAGGATATTTATGATCGGGTGTAATTGGAACTTGAGGATTTTTATTTTGCATATTTTCAGTGTGTTCCCTTTTGGTTTCACCGAGGATGTATTCGTTTGTGTGATTGTAGAATTCCTTGAATTTTGTAGAAAGAGTTTTGAACGCTGTTTTCTTATCAAAGTCTGAAGTAGACATTGTGGTTGTAAGACTGCTAAGTCTCTCGATATTTACAGTGGACGTTTTTTTGCTCGTATTCTCACCGGCAAGCTTTCCCATGAACCCCTTGAAGCCCGTAATCAGGTCGTCGTCAATGGCCTCGGGAAGCCCATCAAGTTCCTTGGTGACCCTGTCCGCGAATTGATCCAGTTGCAACTTAGTGGTGGAAATGTAATTCTTGCGGGCGTGGTGGGTGAGTTGCTTTTTCGCGTTTTCAACTTCCTCGACTACATGCTGTTTGAGCTTTTCTGTCGTTTCGTCACGCAATCTGTCGGCGTCTGGTTTAAGGAATTTCTCACCCAAATCGACAGCCCTTTTTACTGATCCCGCTAGCAAAGCGTCAAGTTCATGTTTAATCTTCTTAATGCTCTCTTGAGCATCTTTTTTCTTATCGTCATAATGCTTGAAGTACTTAGTTTTCAACTCTTCCAATTGACTCTTAGCGCTATCCTTACCCTCTCTCGCCGCTCCCATGATAGCGTCACAGAGTCGTTGAAAATTGGAGGTTACCTTTTCGAACTGCGTCTGAGCTACGCCGTTGAAATCGCCAATTTTGGACAAAGCCTCGTTCACCTTCGTTTCAATGTTTTTGATCATGGGCGGAAAAGTGCCTTCGGATGAGTCCCCTTGTAGAGTATTAGTGCCTGTGATCTTGGGTACCTTTGTTTGGTTAATTAGTCCATTGTAAGTACTGAAGTGTGCACTTCCGGATATGTCAATCTTATCTGTTTCCCTGCCATTTTCTTTTGCTTGCGGCAACTCCTTTCCAAGGGGTTGCTTGAGGTCTGCTTCGAGAACCGTTTGGATGGATTCGAGGAGATCTTTGGAAGGTTTAGGAATGAGTTCGTTCCAGTTTGCATTAGCCTTCTTGAGATCACTTAATAGCCATTCAACATTTTTACCAAAGATTTTATATTTGTCACTCTCCGGATTCATGGCCTTCTGAAGCACCCGTTGAAGCGTTGTACCAAGCGTGGCCAATTCATCAACCTTAATAAGAACATTGGTGTTCAAAGCTTGAACACCTGTACCGGCTTTCTCAGCCCACATGTCGTCGGCCTTACTCATACCCGCCTGCAAAACATCCTTCAACGCTTTAACATATGTCGATATCTTCAATTCAATCGCCCCTTTCATCAAATACAATCCCATCCTAACCGCCCTGTCCAACTTAAGAACCTCCCCAAGCGCTGCTTTCACCTGCTTATCAGCGGCTTCATTCGCTTTGTTACCAGCGTTGAAAAGCTCGTACACCTGGTTGTGAAGTTCCTGGGCTGCCTGCTTAATCGGCTTAACATTGCTGAATGCAGAGTCCTCACTAACCTCATTAATAATTTTTTCAATCTTATCTAACGCCACATTCACGGCTGTATCTGCCTGCCGAATCCATGTAGTCAGATTCTGCAGATAGTTGAACAAATTCTTTTCAACGCTCTTCATCTCATCCAAAATCTTCCGAACCAATACCCTCAACTTGCTTACAAGCGCAGTCACTTCCCTGCAAACATGCTCATTAACTTTTTTTCCATGGTCAGTGAGCACACTCTGAATGCTTTTTTTCATCGCCTCGAAGTCTTTACCTTCCATCTCCGACAGCTTCTGAAATCGTTCAGTTTCACATTTGACAAAGCTTATAGCTTTCTTTACTTTATCACGTAAATTAGGATTTAGATCATCTATTGCTTCTTTTATTTGCTCTTCATTAGTTCCAATGTCTAAAGCTCCGTTGAATCTTTTGGCGTAATTAAGACACTCTTGCAATGCACTCTTAACCGATCCCTCGGCCTTTTCAGCTTTCGTTCGAAAACGTTGATCTAAATAACCATTAATACCGCTCACTTGCGTTTTAAGCGTCTTCATATCTGCTCCAATTCTCCTTATGGGCATCCTTACTTTTCTACTCCCCTCCTTCACACCCTCATTATACTCCCTCACCCCCTGGACCACCTTGCCAATCGCTTCATTAAAACCTTCTTTGCCAGAGTTTTTATGAAGCTTAAGAGACTCAATTGCATTTTTTATAGACTCTTTATGTAAGCCTAATTTAGGCTTAATGTTATGTAAAACTCCATGAAGGAAAGACATCACCCCGTCGCACAGCCTGTCAAGGTCTGAGTACACAATCCCTTCACCGGTGTAATTACCATCCTGGTAGCCGAGAAATTTTTCGAGGCCTGTGCAGAGGTTATTTAATAATGATGTTGAGGGATTATTTTAGGCACATTTTAAGGGCGATTTGGGGGAGTTTGGGGAAAGGCGATTTTAGGTGAAGGAGGCAGCGAGGGAGTGAGGGAGGGAGGTGGACAGGGCGAGGGAGGTGAAGGGGCGAAAGAGGGCGATGAGGGAGGGAGAAGGGTGGAGGTAAGGCGGTTTCGGAGGTGGAGGGAGGAAGTGGAAAAAGAGGATTTGGGTGGAGGACGCCGACGGAGGAGGTGATGGAGGGGTGAGGGGAGGGAGCGAAGCGACCAGTGAAGGAGGGAGGTGGTTGAGTGGTTGAGTGAGTGGTTGAGTGGTTGAGTGGGTGAGTGAGTGGGTGAGTTGGTGAGTGGGTGAGTGGGTGAGTGGTTGAGTGGGTGAGTGAGTGGGTGAGTTGGTGAGTGGGTGAGTGGTTGAGTGGTTGAGTGGGTGAGTGAGTGGGTGAGTTGGTGAGTGGGTGAGTGGGTGAGTGGTTGAGTGAGTGAGTGAGTGGGTGAGTGGTTGGGTGGTTGAGTGTGTGGGTGAGTGAGTGGTTGAGTGGTTGAGTGGGTGAGTGGTTGGGTGAGTGGGTGAGTGGTTGAGTGGTTGGGTGAGTGGGTGAGTGAGTGAGTGGGTGGGTGGTTGAGTGGTTGAGTGAGTGAGTGGGTGGGTGGGTGGGTAGTGGGTGGGTGAGTGAGTGAGTGGGTGAGTGGGTGAGTGAGTGGTTGAGTGGGTGAGTGGGAGGATAGGTGAGTGGTTGAGTGGGTGGTTGAGTGGGTGTGTGAGTGGATGAGTGGGTGGTTAGGTGGTTGAGTGGTTGAGTGGGTGGTTGAGTGGGTGGTTGAGTGGTTGAGTGGGTGGGTAGGTGAGTGGTTGAGTGGGTGGGTGGTTGAGTGGGTGAGTGGTTGAGTGGTTGAGTGGGTGAGTGGTTGAGTGGTTGAGTGAGTGGTTGAGTGAGTGGGTGGGTGAGTGGTTGAGTGGGTGATTAGGTGATTAGGTGAGTGAGTGGGTGGTTGAGTATGTGAGTGAGTGGTTGAGTGGTTGGGTGAGTTAGTGGTTGAGTGGTTGAGTGGGTGAGTGGGTGAGTATGTGAGTGGGTGAGTGGTTGGGTGGTTGAGTGGGTGGGTGGTTGAGTGGTTGAGTGGTTGAGTGGGTGGGTGGTTGAGTGGGTGAGTGTGTGAGTAGGTGAGTGAGTGGGTGAGTGGGTGAGTAAGTGGTTGAGTGAGTGGTTGAGTGGTTGAGTGGGTGGTTGAGTGGGTGGGTGGGTGGTTGAGTGGGTGACTTAGGTGAGTGAGTGGGTGAGTGGGTGAGTGAGTGGTTGAGTGGGTGAGTGGGTGAGTGGGTGATTAGGTGGTTGAGTGGTTGAGTGGGTGGTTGAGTGAGTGAGTATGTGAGTATGTGAGTGGGTGGGTGGTTGAGTGGGTGGGTGGTTGAGTGGGTGGGTGGTTGAGTGGGTGGTTGAGTGGTTGAGTGGTTGAGTGAGTGAGTGAGTGGTTGAGTAGGTGGTTGAGTGGGTGATTAGGTGAGTGGGTGGGTGAGTGGGTGTGTGAGTGGGTGTGTGAGTGGGTGAGTGAGTGGGTGAGTGGGTGAGTGAGTGGTTGAGTGGTTGAGTGGGTGGTTGAGTAGGTGGTTGGGTGAGTGGGTGGGTGAGTTAGTAGGTGAGTGGTTGAGTGGGTGGTTGAGTGGTTGAGTGGGTGGTGGGTGGGTGGGTGGTTGAGTGGTTAGGTGGGTGAGTGTTTGGGTGGTTGAGTGTTTGGGTGGTTGAGTGTTTGGGTGGTTGAGTGTTTGGGTGGTTGAGTGTTTGGGTGAGTGAGTGGGTGATTAGGTGAGTGAGTATGTGGGTGAGTGGTTGAGTGTGTGGTTGAGTGGTTGAGTGGGTGAGTGGTTGAGTGGTTGAGTGGTTGAAGGCACGATTATGGTGAGAAGTACTTGACGTTGGCGAGTGCCTTGACGCGTGCGGCGGCGAGGAGCGACTGCGCGGCGATGCGGTGGCTTGAGGGTGATCTCAGGTGGGAGCGTATCCTCAGGACGTCGAGGCGGACGACGGCGATGTGCAGCAGGTAGAGCAAAGTGAGGGACCAGAGTGAGACAAGCGTGTAGAAGAATTTGTATCTTATGTCCCACAAAAATCCTGTAATTTTGTCGAACACAATTTTATGCAGTGTCTTCTTTTCCTCTGTAACTATCTTCAAAATTGCACAGAAATCTGCGCAGGTCCTCTTGCCTTCTTCTCCTGCAACACCACTGAGGCTGCTGACGCTGTCGTGTATGAATCCATATTTGTAGAATGTCGGACGAATATAGTTGCATTGCACTATTGATTTACATGATTTGTCATGTTTGGAGTCTTTACCATACGGCAACTCCTTTGTCTTGCACCCCTCACTGCATTTGCCAATTTTGCATCTCGTAGCTTCAGCGCCGCACGTCTTTTCGCAGTCCTCCAACAGCTTCTTGAGCAAGTCGTAGAAAGACTCAGTCAAGAAGACAATCCACGACACGTACTTGTTGGCGTGCTTTTCGGAGAACATAGTGCATATGTCACCGCACAAAGGCCTGAGATACGGGCCACAGGGATGCGATGGAGTGTGCGATTTTGCATCGGCGCAGTTGACAAGAGCATACAGATCACCGGTGAGATGTGTACTAGTCTGATCGGCGGGCTTCGGAAGAATATGATTGCTGCTTTTGAACATATCAGTGATGTCCAGCTTGGTATCAGGATTATCGAAATCGGCGGCGCTAACCGCATTGTTAAACGCCGTCTCCCTGTGCTGCTTACGGTTCTCATAGCGTTTACTGCTGTCTTCCCACCCACAAAGCAAACTGTAGTAAAAGCCGAACATATCACTCAGCGATTTCGGCGGACTGGGGAGAACGCAGTTGAACAGGCTGCATATCTTAGTGAGCGGAGACTTTTGATTGCCGCAGAAGTCAGCAAGGACTTCCATGAGGAATTGTCCTGTTCGCCTGTGTGACGCTAATCCGGCAATTCCTGCAAAGCCCATTGGCGTGATGCACGGCACACCTGCGTGGCTTTTAAGTGAGCACTCAAGTTTTCCCCTCTCAGACTTGAGGCTGTGAGGGAGGAAGCCCTGAAGGCCATCCTCTAAAAAGGATTGCAACGGCGATTTCACACCGCACATAACACGTTGCTCACACTTTTGGTTACATGTTTGCTTATGTGTTTGGTTAGTGTTTTGCTTAGCTATTTGGTTAGCATCTTGGCCAGGACACTGCATTGAGTTACACTTCCATGCTGACCCCCCGACTCCATTACCATACCAGCAGTCCTGCCAGCCGCTGAGCGTACTATCGTACCTACACTGCTGGAACAAGAAGTGGAGCTGACGGTACAGGCGGTTGATGACATCGCATATCATGCACAGTAAAGTGTCCATGTTCGTCGGATATGACAGGCCTCCCTGGTTAATGTTATAGTCACAGGCGTACACGCCTTCACCGTAGCCGAAGCCGAGGACACCAGTGAGGACGTCGTAGGAATAATGGCAGACGTCCTGAAGGGCATCTGATAGATTTGACACTGCTATTGGATGTGGATAGGCTTCTAACTTGTCATCGTCTGCGTGTTTGACAGGGATTCTGCCGGACTCACTGCCGGCGGCATCGTCTACAACAATAACATTGTCCTCGTCGTTCTCATCTTTCTCCTGATATTGCTCTAATAGCTTGTCAAAGCCGTTGACTGACAAATCGGCATACACGGGATTGTGAGTGAGGCCACAGAGCCATTTGAGCATGTCGCAGACAGAGGACGGATATGTCTTGGACTGTAATGTGGAGTAGTGGCAAACGGTGTAGTAATAATGGAGGTGGTCGAACAGCTGCTTGAGGATGCCATGTTGCTTTGGAGACGTCTGGTCATCTGTCTCCTCATCCTTGTTTGAGCGCTTTTCTTTCTTCAAATCTTCGTCCTTAATCAGGTAATCTTTGCTATTAATCTGTTCATTAAACTTGCCGTTAATATGCCCGCCCCTGCAGGCTGTGGTATTCCGCAACTCCCCGGTGTGCTTGTTCGGTGCAGAGGAAACGCGGTAACCGCAGCGCTGGAAAAAGCTTCCGAGAGGATTAGTGATAATATTTCCATGCGTCCCGGTTTCGGTCAAAGAGATTGTCTTGTTTTGCCAGATGTCTTTACTGCCACAGTTGCTCCACAGCTCACTGAGATTGTCCAACAACGTTTGCACGCAGGTCATGAAAACCTTGGCGCATTTTTTGGCGTCCTCCGTGGGCTCTTGTTTTTGAGTTGGAGGATACTGAGGCGTCATCCAAACAATGTCCAGACCACTGTACCTGCTGACGTACTGCTTGCGTAGCTGCTCGTGGAGGTCCGCGACGCCGCGCTTTATGACGTTGAGCAGGGGAGAGGCTTCGTGGAATTCCTTGGGGGTGAAGCTGTCCAGTTCGCGTTTGAGCGCGTCGATTTTGTCGGAGACTTCGCGGTGGAAGTGTTTTTTGGTGTTCATTTCGGTGAGGACTTGGAGCAGGGCATCTTGCAGTGTAGTGATTCTTTCTTGGTCACTGGTTAAATCAGATTGTGATTTTAGTTGTTTGAGGAATTTGTCCAAAAAGCTTTTTACTCTGTTAGCGCAGGTTTGTAGATTGTTAGGAAAGTTCTTCAAATTGGCAAACTGGCTGCTCATCTTCCTCATCAGGCCTTTCAGGCCTGACACTTTGTCTCTTTCTATAGAGTCTTGGATACTCGAAAACTGCTCGGATACTGAGTTTAATATGTATTTCAGCTCGGATTTCTTCTGCTCCGCAAACATCTTTTGTACGTGTGTTTCCAAGTCGTCGAATGCCTGTTGTACCCGACCTTGCAGCTTCATTTTTAGGTCTTGCAACACTCTGTTCGCGTTGCTCCGAGCCTCTTGTAAGGATGCTTCCACGGCCTGGATGGCCGATTCAAGGGCTGATCCGGCCTTTTCTACGAGTGGTGAAATGCGTTCTATGGCCTCCTTTATTTTGGTAATCCTCTGTTTCAATTCGGCCATTGTAGTGTCGGCTTCTCTACTTTTGTTGTTGACAGTTTCGGGAACTGACTTCAGTTTTTTAAGTTCCTCCTGAATTTTTTGGACGGCTGCGTTAAGTTCCTTTCTGGACGCCTCGAACATTTCCATCATTTCTGCTACTTTGATTTTGCTGTCATCATCGATGACTTCCACCTTGAATTTCTTAACGGCTTCATCGATAGCATTCTGGGCGGCTTCTTTGATGCGCTCTATTGCGGCATTGTTGAAAGCGGTGACTGCCTGTTCAAGACCATAAACATTTCCATCGTCACTAGTGCCAATGGCAGCAGTCAACTTTGTGATAAGCTTAGCGAGAGAATCATTTTCCGGATCGTCTGGTGATCCATTCTCACCGAAAACGGCTTTTCTCAACGTTGGGAAGGCACCCCTAAGTTTCTCGAATTGCCCTTTGAAATCCGCTCTCTCATACTTCACTCCAAGTAACTTTGACGCCAACGTAATTTCCTGAATAGTCCCAGTATCCAGCGCTGTCTTCGCCATCCCAAGCTTAGATAACGCCTGCTCAACAAGACTATTATTTTTATTACTGTATACATCGCTGTCAAGTCCATCAATATTTTTCTTCAATTCTTCCAGCCCAGCTCGCACATCTTCATCTAGGTTGTCGACTCTACTTTTCACAATGTCAAATTCACTCAACAGAGGAACCTTGCTACCATCGGCATTGACTTTTGTAAACTTCTCAATATTGTTCATTATTTCAGTGAACATCGCCGTGATTTTATCCTTATAACCCTTTTCAAATCCATCCATCTTATCCTCACTAAGCAGATTCTCAGCGAACTGCTTGGCAAGCTTTACGGCGCTTGTAATTAAGCTTATATGTCTGACTTTCTCGTGTCTCAGCTTCTGAATGTTGCGGCCAATTGCATCAAAGTTTTGTTTTAAAGTGTTTTCCACCTCATTTATTTCAGTGGAAACATATGATTTAACGTCCCTTCTCTGCTTAATGAATTTCTCGTCAAGCTCATTTACGGAACTTGTCAAATTGGACTCATTAACAGAATCCCAAAAATTGTCAACAACCCTCTTTATTAGCTCCATTTTAGGCGATATTTTATCTTGGAGATTTTGATCAACGTTTTCCAGAGCGCCCTCAGACTTCTTAACCTCTTGAAGGTAAAGGCTGGAAAGTCCCTGCCAGTTGTCCAACTGATCTGTAATAGGATCCGCCTCCAAATTGAGTAATAAGTGATTTCCAAGCGACTCTCGAAGACTTTCCAGCGGCTTTTTCACCGCCTCACTCTTATTCTCCACATCCCCCAACCACCCCGCAATCCCCTCCTTGACATGGTCAATCACAGTACGCAAACCTGTTTTGCCATCATAGCGCTTACTTTCTAAAAGGTTTACAGCTTGAGTTAATTTCTCTTTATAAGGCTCAAGATTTTTATGATCACGGACATCTTTAAGAACTCCATGAAGGAAAGACATCACCCCGTCACACAGCCTGTCAAGGTCGGAGTACACGATGCCTTCGCCCGAGTAGCCTTTGGAAGCAGGGTTGAAGCCGAGAAACTTTTCTAGGCCATCAGTGAGATTTTGAAGAAGATTTTTTGCAGGATTATCATTTTCTTTTCCAATAAAAGCTTCAAGATTTTGTTTAAGACCATCAAGAGTCTTCTGCCTCTCGTCAATATCCTTCAAGGCCCTTCCTCTGGCATCCTCTGTAAGATAATGAACTTCGTTGTAATGGTCATTGTACTTGGATTGAAGGTGGATTAAGGGAGAGTTAAGAGAGGTAAAAAGAGGTGAAATGGCACATTTTCAGGGCGATTTGGGGGAATTTGGGAAAAGGCGATTTTAGGTGATGGAGGCAGAGAGGCAGCGAGGGAGGTGGGTGGACAGGGTGAGGGAGGTAAAGGGGCGAAAAAGGGCGATGAAGGAGGAAGATGGGTTGAGGTAAGGCGGTTTGGGAGGTGGAGGGGGAAAGTCGGAAAATGAGGATTTGGGTGAAGGACGCCGACGGAGGAGGTGAGTGGAGGGGGTGAAGGCAGGGAGCGAAGCGACCAGTGAAGGAGGGAGGTGAGTGGTTGAGTGGGTGGTTAGGTGAGTGGGTGAGTGGTTGGGTGAGTGGTTGGGTGAGTGAGTGGGTGAGTGAGTGGGTGGTTGAGTGAGTGAGTGGGTGAAGGCACGATTATGGTGAGAAGTACTTGACGTTGGCGAGTGCCCTGACGCGTGCGGTGGCGAGGAGGGACTGTGCGGCGATGCGGTGGCTTGAGGGCGATCTCAGGTGGGAGCGTATCCTCAGGACGTCGAGGCGGACGACGGCGATGTGCAGCAGGTACAGGAGCGAGAGCGACCAGAGGGCTGCAAGCGTGTAGAAGAATTTGTATCTTATATCCCACAAGAACCCTGTAATTTTGTCGAACACGATTTTATGCAGTGTCTTCTTTTCGCCTGTCACTATCTTCAAAATTGCGCAGAAATCTGCGCAGGTCCTCTTGCCTTCTTCTCCTGATACACCACTGAGGCTGCTGACGCTCTCGTGTATGAATCCGTATTTGTAAAACGTTGGACGAATATAGTTGCATTCCACAATTGATTTACATGATTTGTCATGTTTGGAGTCTTTACCATACGGCAACTCCTTTGTCTTGCACCCCTCACTGCATTTGCCAATTTTGCATCTCGTAGCTTCAGCGCCGCACGTCCTCTCGCAGTCCTCCAACAGTCTCTTGAGCAAGTCGTAGAAAGACTCAGTCAAGAAGACAATCCACGACACGTACTTGTTGGCGTGCTTTTCGGAGAACATAGTACATATGTCACTGCACAAAGGCCTGAGATACGGGCCACAGGGATGCGATGGAGTGTGCGATTTGTCACGGGTGCAGTTGACAAGAGCATACAGATCACCGGTGAGATGACTACTAGTCTGATCGGCGGGCTTAGGGATACCATGATCACTGCTCTTGAACATATCAGTGATGTCCAGTGTGGTATCAGGATTATCGAAATCGACGCCGCTGACCGCTTTGGTAAACGCCGTCTCCCTGTGCTGCTTAAGTTTCTCATTTGATTTACGCTTATCATCCCACCCACCAAGCAAACTGTAGTAAAAGCCGAACATATCACTCAGCGATTTCGGCGGACTGGGGAGAACGCAGTTGAACAGGCTGCATATCTTAGTGAGCGGAGACTTTTGATTGCCGCAGAAGTCAGCAAGCACTTCCATGAGGAATTGTCCTGTTTGCCTGTGTGACGCTACTCCGGCAATTCCTGCAAAGCCCATAGGCGTGATGCACGGCACACCTGCGTGGCTTTTAAGTGAACACTCAAGTTTTCCCCTCTCAGACTTGAGGCCGTGAGGCAGGAAACCCTGCAGACCATCTTCGAGGAAGGACTGAAGTGGAGATTTGACACCGCACATAACACGTTGCTCACACTTTTGGTTACATGTTTGCTTATGTGTTTGGTTAGTGTTTTGCTTAGCTATTTGGTTAGCATCTTGGCCAGGACACTGCATTGAGTTACACTTCCATGCTGACCCCCCGACTCCATTACCATACCAACAGTCCGCCCAGCCGCTGAGCGTACTATCGTACCTACACTGCTGGAACAAGAAGTGGAGCTGACGGTACAGGCGGTTGATGACATCGCATATCATGCACAGTAAAGTGTCCATGTTCGTCGGATATGACAGGCCTCCCTGGTTAATGTTATAGTCACAGGCGTACACGCCTTCACCGTAGCCGAAGCCGAGGACACCAGTGAGGACGTCGTAGGAATAATGGCAGACGTCCTGAAGGGCATCTGATAGATTTGACACTGCTATTGGATGTGGATAGGCTTCTAACTTGTCATCGTCTGCGTGTTTGACAGGGATTCTGCCGGACTCACTGCCGGCGGCATCGTCTACAACAATAACATTGTCCTCGTCGTTCTCCTCATCTTTCTCCTGATATTGCTCTAACAGCTTGTCAAAGCCGTTGACTGACAAATCGGCATACACGGGATTGTGAGTGAGGCCACAGAGCCATTTGAGCATGTCGAAGACAGAGGATGGATATGTCTTGGACTGTAATGTGGAGTAGTGGCAAACTGTGTAGTAATCGTGGAGGTGTTCGTTGAGACAGTCAAGTAAGTCCTTGACATTGAACTGCGTTTTTGCTTGTTGACCTTTGTAATGTTTATCTTTTATACACGCATTAAGATGTGAATTATTAAAGGTGTCCTGTAATGACGCAGCGAGGATCTCATGAACACGCCCGCCCCTGCAGGCTGTGGTATTCCGCAACTCCCCGTTGTGCCTGTTCAGTGCAGAAGAAACGCGGTAACCGCAGTTACGGAAAAAGGCTCCGAGGGGATTCTCTTTTCCTAGGCTTCCGTTCCCAGAATCCTCGTATAAATAAAGGTGTTTGCTACTCCAACTGCCTCCATTGGTGCAATTGTCCTTGAGCTCACTGAGGTTGTCCAACAACATTTGCACGCAGGTCATGAAAACCTTGGCGCATTTCATCGCCTTTTCCGACGGCACTGTTTCTTGAGCTTTTGCATCATCTACATTCTTAGTCCACTCAAAGCCCTCCGCAGCCCCCGAGTACCTGCTGACGTACTGCTTGCGTAGCTCCTCGTGGAGGCGAGTGACGCCGCGCTTTATGACGTTGAGCAGGGGAGAGGCGTCGGCGAATTCCTTGGGGGTGAAGTTGTGCAGTTCGCGTTTGAGCGCGTCGATTTTGTCGGAGACTTCCTGGTGGAAGTGTTGTTTGGAGTGCATTGCGGTGAGCAGGGAGGAGAGGGCGGAGGTGACTGGTTGGATGGTTGTGGAATGAGGAGAGACGTCGGATTGTGATTTGAATTTGCCAAAGAATTTGTCATAAAAGCTTTTGACTTTGTTGGCATAGCTGTCAAGTTGTTTGCCAGAATTCGTCAAATTGGCAAACTGAGAGCTCATCTTCCTCATCAGGCCTTTCAGGCCTGACTCCTTGTCTCTTTCTATAGAGTCTTGGATACTCGAAAACTGCTCGGACACGGAGTTTAATATGTATTTCAGCTCGGCTTTCTTTTGGGCGTCGAACATCTTTTCCACGCCGCCTTCCAAGTCGTTGAGGGCTTGAGTCACGCGTTTCTGTATGCTACTTTTTAGAGCCGTCATCGCTATGCCGGTCTCCCTTTTTGCATCTTGTAAGGCTGCTTCCACAGCCTTAATGGCGGATTCGAGAGCTGCATTTGCCGCGGTGATGGGAGTTTCGATGGCAGTAATTTTCCTAAGAATTTCTTGGATCTTAGCTTTCAAGTTTTCCATTGTCTGCTTCGCCAATGCGCTCTTGCTGGTGACGGTTGCGGGGAGTTGCTGAAGTTCTGTGAGTTGTTCCTGAATTTTTTGAACTGCTCCGTCAAGAGATTTTCTTGATTCCTCGAACTGCGTCATCATTGCTGCCACGTCAATGTGGCCATCTTTCTTCATCTGAAATTTCGCAAGCGCATCGGTGACGGCCTTATCTGCCGCATCTTTGATACCATCTTCGGCGGCAGAATTGAATTTGTCGACTGCTTGTTGGAGGCCATTTTTGACGCCGTCACTGAAAGTTTTGTTAAGCTTCTCAACCGTGTTGCTCAAGAGCTCTAACTTCCCATCCACGTCAGCGTTACACGCTATGTCAATTTGACCGACAAGATTTAGAGTCTTACCGAGGACGCCGTTAACGAAATCGGCCTGTGGTGATTGAGTAAATGCTTCAATTGATGCGGAGTCTTTTCTAGCTTTTGCAGAGATGGATGTCAGTATGGCTGTAATTGGTTTAGTTAAATCACCGTTTTTGCCAGAGGAAGAAAAGCCGGAAGTCGTCAGCTCTTGGTCAATCGCCTGTACTATTTCGCTCGCTTTGCTTGAATTGACATGGTTTTTGACACCGTCAAGAAATGATCTAACACCATTTAATGTGCTTTTGACGTCATTTGACTTAACCGATGGCTTTGTGCCGGATTGCTTAACAATATCAATGATCTTCTGCACACCCTTTTTTGTCGCATCTGAGATCTTCTTCAGATATGGATTACCAATGGCGCCGTTAACGTAATGATATATGGTACCGGCCAGGTCTGCATTCATAACTGTTTGGTGGACCCACTGCTCAACCTTCTTATCAAAACCATCTCCTGCCCATCCGACGTATTCGGTGACAGCAGCTAACGCGGTATCAGACTGATGGGAATTTGAATCGATTCTTCCTATATTTTCGGCGTGTTCTCGGATCTTCTCCAAAAAGGCACGCATAGATTTTGTTCGTTCTTCACCAACGGATTCACAAAGGCTTCCAATTTTTTCCTTTACTCCCGTTACGAATCCATGAAGCGGCTGTTGGATCTTTGCACCGAACAAGTTTTCCAAATTCTTTGCATCGCCATTACTCCCGGCCTGAGAACCAGTCACCTTTACAAGTTTCTCCTTCGCCTCCTGAAGTTCCCTCAACACATCTGCTGCAATAGTCTCAATTTTGAGATTGCCGATAGTATTTTTCAACTGCGTCAACCCCTCTCTCACATCTTCTTCAAGGCCTCTAACTTTATTTTGCGCGGTAGCGAAATTCGTTAAAAGATGAGAACTCTCTTTCGTAAACTCTTCAATTTCGCCTCTTAACTCAGTGAATCTCTGCACAACTTGATCTCTGTAATCCTTATCAAAAGTGCTGTCCTTCTCACCAACCAATCTCTCAGCTAACTGCTGCGCCAGCTTTACAGCCCTACTAATGTCTCCAATATGCTTCTCCTTATCCTTCTTAAGGCTGTTTATATTTTTGTTAATTTGTTCATATTTCTCATTTAACGTCTTTTCTACTCTATCAATTCCTCTGCCAATATGCTCACTCACTCCGCTCCTCTGCTGCGTAAACTTCTCGTTAAGCTCCTTCACCGAACTTATGACACTGTCATCGTTCACTGTGTTCCAAAAATTCTGCGTCACATCTCTCATCAATTTTATGCTCGGAGATAATTTATCTTGCAGATTTTTGTCAACTTCCTTTAGAGCCTTTTCCGCCTTTTCTACCTCCTGAATGTGGAGACTAGAAAAGCCTCGCCAGTTATCCAACTGCTCAGTAATATAAATACCATCCATATTTGTTTTAATGTGGTCACTGATTTGTAATTGAAGATTTTCTAAGGGCTTCGTTATGGCTGCATTCCTTTCGTCCACCCCGCTCACCCACTGCTTAATCCCCTTGCCAACTTCGACAATACTACTATCAAAATGCATTCTATTATAGAGGGCGTCAGTAATTTTTGCAAGTGGCGTAGTCAAAGGATCTTTGTATTTTTGAAGATTATTATTTGTATAAACTTCATTTAAAACTCCATGAAGGAAAGACATCACCCCGTCGGCAAGCCTGTCAACGTCCGAGTACACGATGCCGGTGCCCGAGTAGCCTTTGGAAGTTTCTTGGTATCCAAGGAACTTCTCCAAGCCAGAGCACAGGTTATTTAAAAGGTTTTTACAATTATCATCACTAATATTACTAAGAGATTTAAAAGACTCATTAAGCTTACTCAGCCTCTGAAGAGACTGCAACTTGGACTGATGAGACTCATGAGACTTATTAAGCTCATCGGGGACAGACGTTTTTTGGGTTTTAAGTTCATCTATCTCAGCTGAAAGAGACGCAATTTTATCTTCATAATGCTTAATTTTCTTACTAAGCTCACCATCATTTATAAGCTCAGCAGGCACGGCAGCGGGAGGATGCGCAGTCGAAGACGAAGACTTTTTGAGGCTTTTGAAGTCTTCATTACTGTCAATAATAGCGTCAATACCATCATTAATTGCTTTGGTAACAGCGTCAGAATTGCCAATAAATTGGCCAAGCTTCCCACTAAGGTCAGCAAGAGACACCATCCTGGAGCGGATGTCCTTAAGCTGGGCAGTCCTGTCAGACTCAGAAAGGGAGTGATACTTGGCAACATGATCTTTCAATTGGGATTTAAGGTCAGCAATTTTAGAGTCATTTTGTGAGTTATCAGTGGATTTATCAGAGTTTTTAAGTGAGTCAATTTGCTCGTTAAGAGACTGACAGTGGGACTTAGGAGTGTTATCAAAGGAGTAATGTCCAAGACAATTAAGGTGAGAGAAGATAGTGGAAAAAAGAATAGAAAGAGATTACAGGAGGTGGAAAAAGACACTTTTGGAGAATTTTAGAATTTTTTTAGAAAGGCGATTTTAGGTCAAGGAGGCACTGAGGCAGTGAGGGAGGTGGGTGGAGAAGGCGAGGGAAGTGAAGGGGCGAAAGAGGGCGATGAGGGAGGAAGATGGGTTGAAATAAGGGGATTTTGGGGGTCAAAGGAATTTTTTGGAAATTGAGGATTTCGGGTGAAGGACGCCGACGGAGGAGGTGATGGAGGAGGAGGCAGGGAGCGAAGCGACCAGTGAAAGAGGAGGTGAGTGGGTGAGTGGTTGAGTGGTTGAGTGGTTGAGTGGGTGGGTGAGTGAGTATGTGAGTGGGTGTGTGAGTGAGTGGTTGAGTGAGTGGGTGAGTGGGTGAGATACAGATCACACGTGAAGGCACGATCACGGTGAGAAGTACTTGACGTTGGCGAGTGCCCTGACGCGTGCGGCGGCGAGCAGCGACTGCGCGGCGATGCGGTGCGATGAGGGTGATTTCAGGTGGGAGCGGATCCTCAGGACGTCGAGGCGGACGACGGCGATGTGCAGCAGGTACAGGAGCGACAGCGACCAGAGGGCTACGAGAGTCCATATGAACTTTTCTCTAATATCGAAAAGGAATTGTGGAATATGCTTGTGCACTAAGTCATAGAGAACGCTACCGTCCTTTACAACCTTTTCTAATGCTGTACAGAAATCCTGACATGTGCGCTTCATTTCCTTCCTTTTCTCACCACTCAGTCCATGTGGGCTTTTAAAAGTGAAGCCGTATGCATACAATGTCGGATGTATATTTTTGCACTTAACAATGGATGTGCATCCATCTTCATGATTTACATCCTTGAGTTGTTTGGGAGTATTACCAGTGCCGTAAGAAAAATTTATTTTGCACTGTGAATCACAGCATTTGTCGTAGCACCTGGTGCCTGGTTTATTGCACTTTCCACAACAATCTTCATATAGTTTTTTAAGTAAGTCATAGAACGTTTCTGTTATATATACAACCCATGAAAGATAGTTACCAGAGTGCTTACCGGAAAATGTATCACAACATTCAAGAGACAGAGGCTGTAGGTATGGACCGCAGGGAACAGCTGGATTCTCATTTTTATTGCATATGATGAGGCTGAACAGATCACCATTTTTATGCGTATTGCTAGAATGACTATCGTATTGATGAATGAATGTAACGTCCAACTTTGTTTCCTTGTTCCCAAAGTTGGCCTTTCGGACAGCTTCATCAAATGCAACACTCTTAAGCACCGAAGTTTTCTTTGTGTCACCCCAGAACCTGAGCAATCTATGGTAAAACGCTAGCATATCACCAAGCGTCTGCGGTGCTACGCGGAGCAGGCAGTTGAGGTAAGAACACAACTTATTGAGTTTAGAATCTGGACCGCAGAAATGTTTGAGTTCACCAAGTAGATACGCACCTTTCTGTGTATGAGAGGCTACAATACCAATATCTGCAAAACCCATGGGAGTAAGACATGGTTTACCAAAGTGATTGCCTAGGGAACATGTCAGCTTACAGCCAGGTGTGGTAAATGTATGCGGTAGGAAACCTGGAAGGCCGTCCTCCAGGAAGGACTGAAGGGGTGATTTAACACCGCATTTGGGATGTTGGTTACACTTTTGGTTAGTACCTTGGTTAGCACTTTGGTCAGCACGTTGGTTAGGTCTTAGGTTACACTGTTCGTTGGGACACTGTCTCTCATTACAGTCCCATGATGAACCACCCACATATCTGCCATAGTGGCAGTCAGCCCACCCGCCTCTAATACGGCTGTTGTTACATTGTAGGTATAGGAAGTATGTTTGTTGACACACTCTCTTCAAAATATCTACAAGCATGTCTAAACACTGTGATGGAGCATATGGATACAATAAATTATCGATGTTTGTGCGGAAATCGCAGGCGTAACGGCCATCAGGATGGCCGTGACCTAGGATGGCGGTTAGTGTAAGTTGCGAGCGCAAACAAACTTGTTGGAGTGGAGTGTGTAAATCACTAGCTTTAAGATTTTCAGTTTTTGTGTGTTTCTCTCTGTCTGGTACGACAACAGCTAACTGCTTGATATCCTTATCAAAAAGTCCATTAAATTGTTCCTTCACCTTCTCGTACATCGGATTAAAGTAGAACCCAGAAAGCCAACACAGCATCTGATAGATATTTGAGGGGGCCTTAGTTGACGAATGATGTTCAAGTTGGCATACTTGGTAGTACTTTCGAAGAAGTTCGCGTATGAAGTCAACAAAGTCGAACAGAGATATCTCGGTGCTATTTGTAACGGTTGGATATTTTGTTTTCCTCCACGCCTGTATAATCGGAAATGTGGAACCATCGGTAATTTTCTTGATAAGAAGATCACTACTAATATGCGTGCCCTTCTTGGTATCTTTATCTTGCAACTCGCCAGCCTGCTTGCCTTTCTCGGAGTTGACTTCGTATCCTCTTTTATGGAAGAAGTCACCAAGTGAATTCTTCTCGTAAGTGTTAATTTGTAATTGTGTCCAACCACCTTTAGTATAACAGTGCGCTTTCAACGTATTGAAGTCTGCATAAAACTCCTCCAGTATGGTCAGGCAGACCTTGGCGCAGTTGCGGCCCTCGGTGGAGAGGACATCTATCTCAGTTGTGGTAGCGGCGTCGGATTTTTGTTTCGAAGGGTCAGCCACCTTTTCTTTTTTTGTCAAAGGACCAAACGTTTTCCCGCTATACTTGTTTACGTACGCGTGTCCGAGTTGCTCGGTGAATTGCGTCATGCCGCGCCTGAGTGCGTCGAGGAGCAGCGGGTTGTGGAAGCCGTGGAAGTTGGAGGGGGAGAGGGCGGAGATGGATTTCTTGAGTTTATCGAGCAATTCATTAGATGTATGATCGAAGTTATACGGCCTACTTAAATTACCAGATGTGTTACGTTTAAGATAGTTAAGTAAGTAGTCTAGTTTGCCTTGAATATCGTGGACGTTATCGGATTGTGGATTAGACTCCGGATCCTGAGAGGGATCTTTATTCGGCGTTTTTACTTGTCCTTCGATGTAAACGAGAACTTTATCAGCATATTTCTCAAATCTTGTGGATAAGTCTTTGAACTTACCGGAATGATCCTTCGCTGTCAGAGTTGGCTGAGTTGGCGTAGGAACAATTTTTTGAATTTCTCCCAAAGAATATTCACCTGTGCCTTTCATCCACTTCAGCATCCCCTTCACGCCCGTGACTGCGTCCCGCGCGATTATGTTTTGCACTTCCCGCAGTTGCTGGTCGACGAGCGCGCGCAGGGCCTGGAGGTCGGCGGCGTGGGAGGCGGAGAAGAGGGAGCGGACGGCGGAGGTGGGTGGAGAAGGCATTTTCCGTTTTGTCAATAAGTGTCTGTTTGACGGTTATAATCGAATTTTCGACATTTTTGTGGGCTTCAATCAATTTGTCCAAAACAGCTTGTATGGCCTTTGTAACACTCTTGATAGGCAATTCCAACGTTCGCTTTAATGTTATGAGATGGTTTTGGAGTTCATTTTTAATTCCTGCATTTTCTGGAACGTCTGTTTTCTTTCGTGTCAACGATATTGGGGACTTCTTCGAGCTTTTTCACTTTTTCAAAAATGGTTTTGTTGGTTTCTTCGATGACTTTCGCTAATGAGGTACTTTGAAGACTGTTAATTTTCTCTTTGATTCCATTAAGTTTGTTGTTAATGTTGATGTTTTCTAGGGTTATTAAACTCGATCGGATATGTCCACCCGCATCGGAGAACGCCAGGGTGAGCGTCGAGATTATCCTTAATCGTCGTGGAAAATTTCTGGAGGGTGCTTGCAGTTGCGTCAACCTTTAGTACCTTAGGATACTCCTTAATGGCATCAAGTGCTGAGAGATCGGGCCCACCTTTGTTTATTATATTCTTTCATGACATTTTTAACGTGTGTGCTAAACGCATCAGCTGCCTTGAAAGCGTCGGATGCAAATCTCTTCTGAAGATCAAATACAAGGCTTGGTAAGCAGATGTTTTATATTGTCTCCATTCGCACCCTGCGCAAACGCTTTAAGACCTTTCACAATCTCTGAGGCCATAGGTTCACTGTTGCCCTTTAACACTCCCACACCCATTCCCCAATTTACTTTTCACATTCAGCTGATCGACAATGTCATTAGATTATCTTCCTTTCATTGCCGCTTTAGACAAGTGTACAATGTAATCCCATATCCCATTATCTATTTTCGTTTTTATGTCTTCCAAATCCTTCCGCACTTTCCCATCCAATACGTTCACTTCGCTTTGGGCTTTCCACCATCTAGTTATTTCACCAATAACCTCCTTTGAATGTAATCCTTCAGTGACTAACAATTTTCTCTTCTACCATCATCCGCAGCATTAAGGATAATGTTTTTCTTACTTCCAGCGACGCCCTTACTATGTCAGTATTTTGTCAGCATAATTCTGCTTCGCTGCATCAATAATTGTTTTAGCTTCCTCCATCCATCTATCCAAGTCTGCCATGTAGATCTCTAAGTTTTCCCTATGCTCACAGCTTCCTTCTAACACCGACAACATCCCTGCGTATTCTGCATTCATCATCGAAGCACCGGAATCCGTGTTTTTGGATCAATTTCAGTTACCTTGCCGCTAATTTCATTAAAATGCTTTTGAATCGTATCAGTATATTCGACATCAATTTTCGTAAATAATGCTGAGCATCATTCAACGTCCCTTTGAGAC